CTGTATGATAAATATAACTGGCTCAATGAAGCTCATATACACTAACCTGCGAGAATCACGAATAAATCTTGATATTTCTGTAACAATTTGACGTTGTAAAAACCCAGCGCTGCTTGTTTTAGTGGATTTCGCTGAGAAATTAAAGCATAGGAAACGTCACTCACAAGGCTCGGTCAGTTTCCTCTGTGCACCTCACCCCAGCCCACCTCTTTACCTACCGATTAACATTTGCAGGCAATCCATCTCCCGGGGGTTGTACTATATTCTCTATAAATGCAAACTAAACTTTTATTTTATTTTGCCAGGTAAGGCCCACTGAGCGATATCGCTCTTTTTCAGAAAGCGACCTGGCCACAAATGATAGCTCAACAAAGTGGTTTATCACGTGGAAATTTATAGCTGCCAAATGATCTGAACGCGTGTTTTCAAATGTGAAGGGGAAAAACTGGAGGACCCGCAGAAAAACCCACACGACCACGGGGAGAACATGCAAACTCCAAATATGCAGACGTCATGGTAGGGATTGAACCCACGACCTCCTGTATATTAGGCGAGGTAGTTAACATCACCCAACCTCCTAGGAAACTTGTTGATGAGCCAAAGTGTCTCCCTGTTCAGGTAAGCCAAATGGGCAGCACTCATCTCTGTATGCAACCCAAAGCCAATGGGTAGAAATGGTGTAAATTACACATGCCCATGGCAGCAGACATTCCTGTCATAGTATGGACACTGTTAACTTCTTACAAAGTGGTACTAATTTTGTTGAACCCAATGGGATGATAGGCCGAGTACACCACCAGCAAGAATATACATTTACAAACCTTTTATTATTGCGTCTCATGAACTCTGACACATTACAACCCAGTTGGAGCTTGTGCAGTGTATAATGTAGAGAGCCCTTTGTCCAGCCACTGCTGAGTGAAGGCCTCTCAACTGTATCGGTCGTATGGGTCGCTTGACTGTACTCGCCATGGTGGCAAGAAGACGCTATCTCCCTCGCCTGGTGTGCAGGAGGTCATGGGTTCGATCCAGAACTTGACGATGCCTGTATATTTGGAGTTTGTGTGTACTCTCTGCCCCGTGGTGATCCCGTAGATTGTTTTTCGGGGGTCCTCCGGTTTTAGCGCTCCACATTTAGAAACGTGTGTTAAGATTATTTGGCTGCTACTATACATTCCCACGTGTGGTGATGATGCAAGCCACTTCGATGTTCTATCATGTGTGGCCAGGTCGCCTCTGAAAATAAAATAGTTTGGTTTGTTTAGTTTAGTTACCACGTTAGTGCAAGTTGGTGAAGGGGGAGTGGGGGAAAGACTGATTAAATACAACTGCTGTAGATATGATTGAAATTTAAATCCTTTACGGCTGTTTGCAAACTATCAATGCGACCAAAACGTAGCTTATGAACCACTTATCTACTGTTTTGAAGGTTGGATTTTCGGAATGAAAATCTAAATCGAATATAATAGACTGATAACACGTGTTAGCAACAAAGTTTAAGAGGAACTATTCCTTTGTCTCAAGCGTGCTAAAACTTTTTTCGGGAGGCTGCCAGGCAACTTCGGGGTGAGAGCACTGTTGGGATCATGGGTTCGAGCCTTGGGTCTGATTGTCTCTCAGTGGGTTCATAATGGTCGTATCAGAGACATCGAGCCAACACTGCTGAGATCCTGGGGTTACAATCCGGGCAGCCACCCGCGATTAACGCGGGTTCTTAAGTGTAACGAATTGATGGTCTCAGTCCCGTCAGAAATAAATGTGGGTTTTCACTGAATTTCTCAATACTTTTCTGGCTCTGAGAGTGAAAACAAAAAAAACATCTACTTTAACAGCACCCATAGTGTGGATATCAGGTCACTTGTCGGGATCTCAGCAATAGTTCTGTGAAATCACCTTCCTTTTGGGCAATTCGTTTCTTCTCAAACACGACATGATGCACCGCTTTGCGGGGTTTTGAATAGATAATCCCTGTTCTTACGACATGGCCCCGAGAGATCAATTGGAAAAAAAACTTGTAAAAAAGACCACAATAATAATAATAAAAAAGACATTTAAATCATTGTTATTCGTACAGAATATGCTGCTGAAGACAGTGAGTGTGCAGAGTTACCTTTTAAAACTCAAAGTCAGTTGTTTTGTTGCTCTTAGAGACGTTTTAAAGCCAGTTATACACTGTGCAAATGAGCAAAGATCGATGTACTGCTAAATTGTTAGTGCCCTATCAATAGACTGAAGTTCATAGAGTTTGTGAAACGTGAGCCCTCAATGCCCCCCACACGAAGATATAATGAGAAGAGTAGGCAAGACGAACTACTTTGGAATATTTGGCTGCCTCAATCCCCTGGCTGTTCCATTTTCAAAAGCAATTGCTTTCAACAAAGTATTGTTAACATTGTTGAAGGAGTGATTGCGGGGGATCTAGTTTTTGTCAATAAAGATAGCAGTGTTTTTTAGGTTGTTTTTAAATATAAATGTATACTGTATCTTGTGTACCAGTGACCTTGTACTGTATGGCACTCATTTAATGAGTATAGTTGTCAGGCGTTGTATGGAAGAGCTACTGATATGGGTGGTTCCTACAATTGTCGTCAAGGCATTGAACACAAATGTTTCCACACAAGCCAGTATTGTGACAAATGTAATCTACAAAATAACGTCTGAGAATCTAAATTCTTACTCCAACACAAGACGTACTCTGTGATGTACAGGCCACGCCATGAAGCACACATTGAACTACTGCAGTCCAGGGTTTCCCGAACGCCGATCCTTACGATCTACCATGCTACGTAACTCTGCGTTTACCAATGTCCTCCTTCCATTCAATACAAATTCACTCGTTCCATGGTGCACAAGCCCGACCATGATTGTTAAACGCGCCCCACGTGACACGCTCAGAAATTAATAAGAATACAGGGTGTTTCAACGGGGTTATATTTTTTTACCACTTCTGAGAATTTGCAACAACACCACCAGAAACATGCTGCCTCCGGGCTCTGGAGACCTCCTGGAGAGGATTCCAGGCGTGCGTTGACAACGATGGCGAACGAGTGGAGACTCTTTGAAGCTATTAACATACATTTGTTATCATGTTACAGTGTATTATCCGTTCTATGTCCATTAAAAACGATCGTCCCATATAAGTGTGAAAAAAGTTTGAAGCACCCTGTATAATAACCTCGGTTTTCTATAGCACAATGCGAACAAGGCCTCAAAAACGCTTCACGTGAAGCTTAAGTTATGGTGAGAAAGCCTGGTGAATAAACACCGGGTGAGTTTTAAGACGCGATTTAAAAAGTGTGCACGGAGCTCAGATTCCGTGCCGAGGAAGGGAATTCCACGATCGCGGAGCCGGGCTACAAGAGGCTCCCTGTGCGTTCATTGGAACCGATTAAAATTAAGGTTGAGATCTCAAAAAGTGTGTGTGTCTGCGCGCGTTCCATTTTTTGCGGGGAGCGGTGGTGTAGCGGTTAGCGCTCCGCTGCGCTACGAACCCGGGGAACCTGGGTTCGATTCCCGGTCACGGCCAACACCGGTGGCGATTATCTTCCACAGTCCTGCCCCCCCCCAATCCTCCCTCCCTCCCTCCCCCAGGTCGACTCAGCCTCAAACGAGTAATTGGTGCGGTGTGGAAACATTGCCACGAGGCAGACAGATGCGGCCCAGCGTTGTTGCTGGCCACCCATCCACGCACCCGTGTGCCGTGCCGACCTTCATAGGTGCTCGCTAACAGCACTTGCCCCCAACAGTCTGTTAAGGCTACAAGGGGGATCGTTGTCTTTGTGTTCCACGTGACACAGACAGCGTCAATTGCTCCGTGTTTCACGTGGCACGCGTTTAACAATCGGGCGCGTGCGGCGTGGAACGATTTCAGTCGCCTTTGACTGGAGAGTAAATTTGGCAAACAGGGAAAGGCGTCGCGTGGTGGGGCGCGATGACTGGAGTTTGGGAGCCCCTGCAAGACACCAATATACACCACACGCCGTTGTATCCTCTTTACGCCCACCCCCCACATTTTAATTGCCCCATGCTTCTCCTTCCACAGCCCTCTCCAACCTGTCGCACAAACCCCTTTCATTTGAGCCTCTCTTCCCACAATTCTTTCCGACACAAAAACGCCTCCCGATTCAACTCTCCATTTGTGAACCCCCCCCCCCCCTTCCTCCATACAACGCACGCATGTCAAACACCGCGCGCTACATGCCACTGGGCAGGTGGCCGGCTCAATTGAAGACTTGTTGCGTCTCTCCCACCCCTGCCATACCGCAATGCAGAGGGGGACATTCTTCACAATAGTCTTAGCACGTGCGGCCGCGTCAGCCGAGACTCAAACAAACCCCTGACCTTTTGAACCGATGCCTGCAAGGCAAATGCTCTTAACATAACGGGTCAGCGGTAATCTCTAAAACAAGGCTCTGGTTCTAAAGGGGCACGGCCTTCTTGCCCCGTTTCCTTGCCAAAGATTGCCGAGGAATTCCCCTAGGTTTACCATGACGGGGGATTAAAATTTGCACGGACTGAAAACGGCAAAATATTCAACGCAGTTCATTTCCATGATGCCGACCCATCGCTGAATTTCAAGGGGAAATGACACGCAGACACTGGGATTCGTGAGTTTGTTTTCTCTCTCTTTGAAACTACTGCAGTGGCATACTTTTGACATGAGTAATGTTGGAAATGTTAGTTTATATAAGATTGTGACTGAAAACAAACACTTGTAAGGTCATTATTTCTTCAAAAATATATATATTTTAAAAAATACCAATCTAATATATTTTGACTATGTGAAAGCAAATGAAGCCTTAGATGAAAACTTTAGCCGCAGTAATTATCAATAATAACGCCACAATTGGGTCTTGCAATGACTGAATGACGGCGAGAGTTTGTTTTAGTAAGGTGTTTGAATTTTTTTGTATAGTTTTTAATGAAACATTTTTTCACTTACGTTTGCAACATTTTTCAACGCGGTCATTGTGTGATGTGAAGTGAGCAAACTGACACAATTATTATTAATATTATTTAATACTGTATTTACAACAATGAACACAAAAACAGAGGCGTCAGGAAATGTTTAGCAAAAATAATAATAATCGGAGAGCACAATTAATGCAGGGGGGGAAAAGCCAATCCTGAAAATAAATACAAATAATTTAAATAAATAAGCAAAACAGAACCTATTGTATTTTCATGAAGAAGAAAACAATCCCAATTGCTAAAAGAAAAAGAGCTACAAGATAAGGCACAAATTAGGTAAAGATATTTAAATGTAGTGATAATCAATAATTAAAATGAAAGTTAAAACGTAAATCGTTGTTTAAGATACATTTTGCTTACCTAGACATCATCGCAGTAAATTTGTTTCACTCTGTATTACTTACAACTGCATATACAATATTGGTACCTTGACTTGAGGTCAATAAAAAGGTGCTTTGTTTTAAAGCAATGGGCAACAGCGCAATGTCAAATATCAGATCCATTGGTTAGCATGGCAACTTTTCACCGATGCAAAAAATCCACACAAATGTTACATCATTGATAATAATATTGTTAGGATGATGAACAATTATACGTCACTATTATTATAAGTGCACTTCTTTTGTCAAGAGTAAACACAATTAAAATGAGTCTATTACTCATGATGGATTTGTTTGTGTTTACCATTTAATGTCTATTCATATTTCCATTCCAATTTAAGTCAAGGAAGCACACAGGACGAATTGCATAAAAGGTACTATAAAAGTAATAAAAAAAACAATAAAATGATGAGTGATTACAGTATCTTTGGTAAAATTAAAATGGATATCATGAAATCAGTACATTGAAAGGCCACTTCGAAATGCTGTACAACAATACGCACATACACGCTTTGATTGTCTCACCTTGACACCAAATGTAAGATATATACACCATACACTCTCATTTGATCGTTTTGTACATGTAGCTCATCACAAAACCTATTAAATGTTAAGTAATTCAAACTTACAATTATTACCCCATTTGTACACAATATCCCAATTATTGGAATGCAGAACGATTATGCCTGTATGAAATGATAAACATTAAGAACTCACTTTCAGACGTACTTCATACATCGTTTAAAATAGACACGCTGACCTTGATCCAACATGGTTAGAATGGACGTACATTGTCCAACCAGCTTGCCACATGCAATGTACTGCAGAGCGAGTTCTGTGGATGTATTTGATCCACTTACGATCATGTGTACAGCGATAGACCCTATATAAAATGTTTCACCATATTGATAGCAAAAGCATGACACATTTACATTATGATAGAAAATATTACATTTAAAATAAACAAAACAGGTCACCTAATAACCATCTATTAAAAGTACTTTCATCAATGTGCCTCAATTTGCTGTGCAAATTGCATCCAAATGAACTAAACATGCAGCTGTATTATTCATTCAGGGCTAAAGTATGTACAGGCGTGTTCACTCATTACTGTTGCAGGACTACGGTTAGTATCATAATAGTTGACGGTTTAAAAAATATGAACAAAGTGAACGAAGTTCAGAACCATTTCATAGTAAAACCGTGTTCTGTTAAGCATTTCATTTTTAAGATCTACAATCTTACTCCAACATTTTCGTATGCAGGGAAGTATTGCAGCTCTTGTTCATTCTTGTGCACGTGAAGTTTAGACTTCCACAAATGTGCAACGTACTGACGTCTCCCTAAATAACAATTGTTTTGCTTTTCTTTCCACTCTGACGTTGCAAAACTTCTCTCCGACGATCGTTTATGTCCGCACCGCATTGGCAAGTTGAACTCGGAGGGTCTGGATGCTGGTCATAATTCTCTTCTGATGTCCGGCTAGGGTCACTCCAAGCCTTTGTAGGTCACTGTAGGAGTCACAGAAGTTCATGTTAAAATGTAAACAGGAACAGCCAAATGCACTGATATGGGCCACCGCTAAATTCATCACTGACTGCAGCAGCCCATAAGTACTCTTTGGTTCTTTCGGTAAAGTCACGTAGAAAGAAAATAAATTAAATAATAGAGTACGACGTTTCGATTGCAACACAAGCAACCATCATCAGGTAGAACTAAATTTGAGAGAGAGACAAAACACAGACACGTTTTCTCAAACTATTCCTGCAGTCACGAAAGCTTCAAATCAAGTTTAGCCCATAAGTAATTATATTAAGTCATACTTGCTAATCATGCCCATTTAGAAAATGGCTTCCTGCTTCCAAAATGCCAAGTGCCAAACAACATTTATGTCTCAGCAGTATGGACGACATCTAAATGAGAGCTGATATTAACATGATGTCAATGTGACTAATTCTCATTGTTTGATCCAAATGACTCACATTGACAAGTTGAACCAAGTTCCTTATGCAATCGAGTGGCAGTTTCAATATATTCAAGAACATATCTACTATTCTTTGGTTCTTTCGGTAAAGTCACGTAGATAAAAATAATAATAAAAAGAAAGTGAATAAAAATAATAAAAATAGTTTATTTATATTTATATGTTTTTATATTTTTTTTTATTATTTGTATTTTATTTTTATTATTCTTTTTCTATCTACATGACTTTACCGAAAGAACCAAAGAATATTAATTCCTGCAGTCACGAAAGTTTTAAGTCAAAATTTAACATGTCTACTGCTCTGTATAAATAGCATTACTGTAATCAATCTAAGCATTACTATACATGCAGCGTCTGCTATACATATAAACATACATATAGAATGTTTAGTATATGATCTGTGCAACACATTGTTGCTATGTACTGCATGTATTTATTATTCCCTCCAAAGCAACTGCAGTTGACAGAATGCCACACACCAGTGGATACAATCTACTGAGAGATTTCCATCAACAGACAGAAATGGAACGAAGCACATTCATGAGTAAATGTATGGCTGCTTTAAATAATTCGTAAATGATACTTAATATTTAATAGTTGCATACAGTTTTATCCCTGTCCTCCCTTGTGAAGAAAGATTATTGTCTCGACGGGTTCTCACCCGCTACAATAAACATAACTAATTAATGAGTGCAATTAATGCAGACAATATCAGCAGGCTAAAATTATGTTGGGACATATTTCATGAAGAATTCTGCATGAAAAACAGAAGCCCCCGAACAAAGTAAAATGTTAATTTTTTTATTTAAAGCTTTCGTGACTGCAGCGATTCATATTCTTGGTTCTTTCGGTAAAGTCACGTTGAAGGGAAACAATAAAATAATAAAATATATTATTATTTTATACAGCTATTTATATAAAATAATAAAATATATTATTATTTCATTGTTTCCCTTCAACGTGACTTTACCCAAAGAACCAAGAATATTAAGTAAAATGTTGGTCGGTGCCAATTCCACCTTCTTTAGCAAATAAACTTGTGCACGTTGCAACGAGGCTTACTCCGGTGTCATCTGTGCGACGGCGGGCCACGACACCAAGCCGGCGTTGGTGAAGTTCTCCTTGTAGCGTCCCATCTTGATGTCATCCAGCCACTCCCCCACCGAGCAGAACATCGTGTACTCCGGAGCCTTCCTCTCCAGCAACGGGTTCGACAGCCTGTTGACGTGCAGCGAAAGGGCCCGATTCAAAATTAAGGGCGAATTTTTTTTTTATTTCCAATTTGTTAACCATAGCTTGGGATCCCACAAGTGCCGGGAAAGATGCAGTTTATTTTAACAATGTAGTCCACAAATAAGCATCATTGGGTTCACACTAATTTATAGGTCAGTTGAAATAAAACTAAAAACTATTTAAAAATGTTTTTTTACCAGGTCAGGCTCAATGAGCTATATAGCTATTTTTCAGAAGCGACCTGACCACAAATGGTAGCTCAACGAAGTGGCTCATCATGTGCCCATTTTAAGCAGCTAAATACTCTAAATGGATGTTTATAAATGTGGAGGGGGAAACCGGAGGACCCGGAGAAAAATCCATGCGAACACATGACATCCTGTATACCATGCGAGGTATTTAACATCCTGCCACCGGGATACCCAAATTGACTTGTGGAGCAGAGGCAGGTCACCACCATGATGAGAACATTTATTATTTGCACCATTATATCTGACAGACAACAAGCTCCCTTTAGGTAATGTTTACAGAAGCAGCCCTGAAATTGCTCACTCACACCACTGAAGGTGGAATGGCCTCCACTGCAGGGAACTCTCGAGAGAGCCCATCTGGAGAGTATTCGGCCTGCTCATTTCGCTGGCCAGGCATCTTAGAATTAGGTCAGATAACCCACAATTACGCCACCATGAGTGAGCTGCCGACCGACGACCTGCAGTGGTTTCTCATTTATACTGCTGGGTGGACAGAGGTGGCAACATTTTACTTGACCTGATATTGTTACAACTGCTGCATCCGGAGATCTAATTGAACCAGCGACCTCTCAATTGTCATCTCAGTGGTGGTCAATCATTGCACCATGGCAGCATCGAGCACTTTGCAATCATGGGGGAGGCAGTAGACCACGCGAGAGGTGCTCACTCGACGCTGGACTGCGAGGTGGCGTGCAGGCTGGCGGGGTTCTGCAGGAGCTTGTCCAGGTAGGCGAGGATCTGCGCGAAGTTGGGCCTCTCCGTGCGCTCCTTCTGCCAGCAGTCGAGCATGAGCTGGTGCAGTGCCGGCGGGCAGTCCATGGGCGCCGGCAATCGGTAGCCCTCCTCGATGGCCTGGATCACCTGCACGGTGCAACAAAATTGTGAGGACCCCAGTGGCAGTGAAAGTCACATATGGTGTGGCGTGCATTGATTGGCTATGGATATGTTCAACCTTTAACGCTGAAAGGTTGTTGTAAAATTTGGCCAGAACATAGGCCAGGTTTGGCACCATTGCATAACCCATTTGGACAATGAATCTGAACTCATTATTATTCCACTGCTGGATGAAGGCATATCAAATAGTGTCATGCCGAGTATTTGTGGACTTAAAATATATTTTGTCAATGAAGCCCTGACAAAGCTAGGCATAAACTAAAAAGTTAAAACACGCATAATTTTTATTGTACATCTAAAATGTCAGTGTGAGAGCAACAATTTGCATATCGGATGCATGCCGGCAGGTAAAATATGAAATCTGACTATTTTCTTGCTCGTTGCCAAATTAAGTTAATTTGTGAAGTGTGATGATATCAGGCGAGTGTGGACTTTTGTTAAATTCACTCTGGACACACCGGTGGGCTAAAGTAGTGAACTATTTATCTTTTGTCAACGTGACACTTTTTTGCTGATTGGCCGTGTCGGGTGGTGGAGGGTTACGACACATTTATAAATAACGCGATCTAACCTAAACACCTTTATTATGAAAAAGGCATTTGTTTGTGATTTCCTGTGGCTCTTGTTCGGGATTGTTTTAGTTTTATGTGAATACACAGAAGCCGTAAATTATATATAATGTCAGTCAATAATTCATGACACTAATTAATATTGGATGTTTTTTTGTTGTTGGCATTTTAAAATTAATTTAACATTGTAATACATGTGTAACGTTGCAATAATACTCTGTGACACATTGAATGCAAAAGGGACTTAAATATGCAACAGGAGTAAAGAAAATAAATACATAATGTATACATTATAATTAGTAACTATCAGTACTATCATAAAAACAACAAGAACAAATGATACATATCATGCAGCATACATGCTAGGGTTCATTGTATTTGTTATAAGTCTGGTTTAATACGTTTACAAACCACACTATGCAGATGAATTCCAAAGGAGATCATCATCCAGCAGGAGATACGTTTAGACTGATGATGATGATGATGACATACACGCTTACAATTAAGCATTAATACTCACGTCCTGGTTGTTCATGTCCCAGTAGGGCCTCTCTCCGTAGGACATGACCTCCCACATGAGGACTCCGAAGCTCCACACGTCGCTGGCCGATGTGAACTTGCGGAAGGCGATGGCTTCTGGGGCCGTCCAGCGGATGGGGATCTTGCCTCCCTGCGCGTAGCAGAAACAACAACAACAACTCTTATCAACTTCCATAATGATGCTAGCCATCTGTTGAGATCCTAGGTCTTAGTGAATCGCGTATCAGCAGTATCACTCTGAGACTGCGAGTGAGTCTCAATGAGTGAGTGTGAATCCCCACTGTGAGTCTTTAGGCTGGGTGGTGATGAGTCTCAATGAGTGAGTGTGAATCCCCACTGTGAGTCTCGAGGCTGAGTGGTGATGAGTCACAATGAGTGAGTGTGAATCCCCACTATGAGTCTCTAGGCTGGGTGGTGATGAGTCTCAATGAGTGAGTGTAAATCCCCACTGTGAGTCTCGAGGCTGGGTGGTGATGAGTCTCAGTAAGTGAGTGTGAATCCCCACTGTGAGTCTCTAGGCTGGGTGGTGATGAGTCTCAGTGAGTGAGTGTGCATCCCCACTGTGAGTCTCTAGGCTGAGTGGTGATGAGACTCAGTGAGTGAATGTGAATCCCCACTGTGAGTCTCTAGGCTGGGTGGTGATGAGTCTCAGTGAGTGAGTGTGAATCCCCATTGTGAGTCTCTAGGCTGAGTGGTGATGAGTTTCAGTGAGTGAGTGTGAATCCCCACTGTGAGTCTCTAGGCTGAGTGGTGATGAGTCTCAGTGAGTGAGTGTGAATCCCCACTGTGAGTCTCTAGGCTGGGTGGTGATGAGTCTCAGTGAGTGAGTGTGAATCTCCACTGTGAGTCTCATCTCAGTGAGTGAGTGTGAATCCCCGCTGTGAGTCTCTAGGCTGGGTGGTGATGAGTCTCAGTGAGTGAGTGTGAATCCCCACTGTGAGTCTCTAGGCTGGGTGGTGATGAGTCTCAGTGAGTGAGTGTGAATCCCCACTGTGAGTCTCTAGGCTGAGTTGTGATGAGTCTCAGTGAGTGAGTGTGAATCCCCACTGTGAGTCTCTAGGCTGAGTGGTGATGAGTCTCAGTGAGTGAGTGTGAATCCCCACTGTGAGTCTCTAGGCTGAGTGGTGATGAGTCTCAGTGAGTGAGTGTGAATCCCCACTGTGAGTCTCTAGGCTGAGTGGTGATGAGTCTCAGTGAGTGAGTGTGAATCCCCACTCTGGTCCTCAGGCTGTGCGAGGAGCGTGCGGGGGAGAGCTGCTCACGTGGGTGGTGTAGACAGCCTGTGGATCGTCCTCCAGTCCCCGTGACAGCCCGAAGTCGGACACCTTGCACACCAGCTTGCTGTCCACCAGGACGTTGCGAGCGGCCAGGTCACGGTGGATGTAGTTCATGTCGGACAGGTACTTCATGCCGGCCGCAATGCCCCTCAGCATGCCCACCAGCTGGCCCACATTGAACTGCCCGTCGTTCCCCTGCAAGGTGAGAACCAAGGCAATGTGAATATAGCGCAGAAAAAAATCCATGGTAATCCTTTTTATCGATATCACACTGCATTTCTCATCACCCTCTTATTTGTTTTTCTAAACAGCTGATTGAATATCATGAAAGCAATAGTTCCACATCTTTCAGAGGAGAGTGTAAAAGCGTTTAATATGTACACTGCGATTGGAGGCACTCATGTATCACCTTTCAACTCAAATATTGTTTTGAGTTTACATAGGGTGTCTATACATGGATCACCCTGCATGAACGATTATCAATTCTCATATACACGCACACACATACCTAACTGTTAACTGGGGAAGTGGGAATCTTGTGAAAGGAAGGAATTTAATTTCGTCCAAAGATTTAATTATACATAAGTATATTTTAATTTCCATTGAAATATAATTTATAAAATGCTGGTACGTAATAAACAATTAACATATCTCATTGCATGCTGGGCACCTGTTCCAAAACGTAACACAGGCCCTTTTAATTATAACTTGGCAGTAACTCTTCGAATGATTAGACAGCTTCTAGAATCTACGAAAGAAAAAAGTTAAAACAATAAACTCTGCCAACCACAACCTCTCCCAAATCATGCTAAACCGTAAAAAAAAATGAATCGCTACAACATGTTTGGCCATCGTAATTAAACTCAACGACTGCGAGGAGTTCAATACAACACTAATTTTATATATAATGTAATATATATGCAACTTTTTTTTCCAAACTACGTTAAATATATGCACACGGTGTATTAGGTTACGTGCTGTTTCAGTACTTAACGGATGCAAGGATGTGCAAAACTGGTTTAGGTAAAAGACCGCCCTTTTTTGGTCAAAGAAAAAATCAAGCACTCACCCTCAGGAAAGCATCCAGGGACCCATTTTCCATGAACTCCGTGATTATCATCACCGGCTTGCCTAGAGGCAAGGAAGGAAAGCCCATCACAAACATTGCCGCAAATAATTACTCCCGGAATGCAACTGGAGTGATAAGGAGTCCTGATGATCGATCGTATCTCAAAGTTAAACTATGACAACACTGTTAACAACAACAAAAAAAAAGCTTGTAGGCTGCTTTAAGTGAACTGGTGGAGTGACGGAGCAGATAAAAAGAACGAGTGAGCAATGTTACTGTCATGACATAATTCTGCATTTCTGCTTCATGTGCTTTAAATATTTAATAAAAAAAACAGCTCGTGTACGTGCGCTCACTCAGGCTTCGAGTGTACGGCCGTAAGTGCTCCTTTTGCTCGCGTGTGTGGCGTGATTGCATCCGTTTTTGTTCCTGTGTGTACATTTGTGCCACTCCCTGTCCTTGTTCTTGCAAGAGTGCCTGTCGATGCACCTGTATGTGTGCGAGCACATGTGCAAGCTTAGGACTAATGTTTGCGTGACTGTACTTATTCCAACCGTCTATAATTGTGTGCGCCTGTGTTCATGTGTTGCCCAGCAATGTGAGTGAGAATGTGTGTAGAGCGACAGGGTTCCATTTTCAGCCATGGTTAACATCAGCGGCAAATAACTGAAGCGGTCCTGGGCCTCCACGAGGTTGACTCAGCCTTTAACCAATTACCTGCTGCGGTGCGTAAACACCAACAGCACGATTGTGACCACACCACCATCCCATGCACTTGGCCCAACAGCCTGAAAAAGGCAGTGCTGTTGCCAGCACTCGGCGTGTTTGTTCCCGTGCGCCCGCCCGCCCGCTCGGTGCCGCTCAGCGACTCACTCTTGGTGACGACCCCCTCCAGGCGGATGATGCTCGGGTGCTCAAACTGGCCCATGATGCTGGCCTCGCTCAGGAAGTCCCTGCGCTGCTTCTCGCTGTATCCGGCCTTCAGGGTCTTGATGGCCACCGGCGCCTCGGCCTGGCCCGGCACGCGCAGGCGGCCCCGGCACACTTCCCCGGACTCGCCTGCACGCCCGCCACAAACATTCATGGTCATCCCCAGATGACCTGGCAAACCCTCAGAGTGACTGCAGTCGATATCAGAGCACTGCAAGGGTCGTTGCCGAGAAACATCAGGCAGTTTACCAGCGATGGTTAAAGAAAATCTGACTGCTGACGAGACGTTAAATGTTCAAACACGTTCCAGAGTTTGCTTGCTTTGAACCCCATGCTGCCGATCAGAAGCACCCCCAATAAGCATGTGAGGCCAATGGTTTGTGCTTAAACAGAATACTTTTATCTCTTTATGTGAAGAGACAAATATGGGAAAGGGGCATCATTGACTTTGTTATTGAGCCAGCAGTATTCAGTCCAACAGCTTAAATGGTGGGTGGTTAATTGAGATGAACTTTGTCCTCAGCAAAAAGCAATATGTGATGGGCTTAGCCCAGCCACTGATAACTTCACAAATAAACCCCAATGTGAAAACATAAGGGCTAATTTTGGGTTTTGTATTCCAGTTGGTAAAGTTCATCGCCGAGGGATGAACTCATTAGTTTCACATTATGCGGACAGTGAAATAGTCTCTCATCAGTCATCAGTCTAATCGTTGCATAAGGTAGACTGCACGAACCATTTAGAGCAAAAGCCTATGCTCATTTTTTTGGATGCTAAATAATGAGAGATGCACATTCCTGCCGCCATAGAGAGATCTGTAAAACTCATTATGTAGTTGTCAAAGCGACAGTCGCTCGTGTAGCTGGCAAAATAAAATGAAAAATATAAAGGGAAAAACAGAACCAAAAAATGTATTTACTTTTTTAATGAATTTTAGAAAAAATAAAAAAACAATGCTCCCATAATAGACGTTTGGGTTTGCATGAGTAGCACTGAAGATTGATTTTACCCGTGTATGTGCGTTTCTAATTGGTGAATTTTCAATACCCTTCATCATTGCAGTCATATGCTCGTGCAACGGCTTGGCTCATTACCAATATAATGAACTCCACGGTGGATGCGGTGATAATTGAGGGCAGGAAGCTCAGGGATGGGTCATGGGGGAGGAGTCATGGGGGAGGGGGGAATGGCTTCACTGCAATCGCTTCATCTCTGTGCCGTTTATTGGCAACACCGTTGCCCATTACATTTGTATAACGACCAACAAGTAGGAAGCTTCACCCGCATTCCATTGCTTTAAAAAAAAACAATACTATAATTTTAGGAAATGTTACCAGGTGACTTTAAAACAAAAGGACATTGTAGGAGCCGGAAAAGCAGTGCTAGCCAAACCACCTTTTCATAAATAAATGGACCACTGTTCATATTTAAAGCCATCAGTACTTTGGGTCAATACTGGACCTCAGTTAACTTCCCCTGCTTGTTTATTCAAAACAAGCCTCTCAATGCGTTAATGAATGAAGTCGCACACAAGCACGTTTGTAAAAGGGTTGCCACCTGCCCAAGTTTTCCCAGGAACATTCTATTTTATTCTCGTATGTCCCGGTATTTGTACTGCAGGGGGTGGCAACGCTAGTGCGTTGGAGGTGGCAAACCGTGAGGCCGTGAGCCTGCATGTGTGGCCACATCCAGGGCCTCACCTGATCCGATAACCTTCTCTATGGTTATCCAGGACGGCTCGATCTCGCGGGCAAATTCCTGGACGGCTTTATTGGGGTCTTCGTACGTGAAGGGGTCAACGTAGTTCCTCCGGTTGGGGAATTTCACTGCAAGGGTTGGAATGCAAACAGGGCACAGAATTAAAGGCATTCAACCCAACAGTGTTAAACAGGGGTGAAAATCGCAAAGCGGATGGGAATCTGGAATAAAATGGGTAGGGTGGGTGTTAAACACATGCGTTAATGCTTTTAGGAATGTCCTAATCACCCAGAGTTGGGCTTGTTTTAAATAGGGTGTATAGACAAAGAGGAATGTAAATCAGAGTAGAGACTGCACTTAACCATTAAACATGTATATTTAAACGTACTCCTGCTCGCAAATGGAACCTTATATTTCTGTATCTAACCATATGATATTTAAGCTTTTTTTTACATCTCCCTTTCTTCTGCTCCGTCATTAGCAGTCTCGTTTTATCCGCCTGCATAAAAACCGCGTTCGTGCCAGACACGGCAGTATAAATGCCAGGGCAGATACAAACTCAGGACGACGCCTCCGTACGCCTCTATGCAGTCGGTGCGCGTAACCGGCTCATTGTCACACCACTGCGGATATCGCACGTGCTCAACAAGCAGGGCACGCTTTGAAATAAGCAAAGCTGCAAAGTTTGCGTGCTTTTATCTACCTGCTGTGGCTGCATCAGCATTGACAATGCCTCTCAAAGGTTGGCAGAGACACCATGGGGGTTTAAATTTCAATGTCCTGCATGAGGTTTCTTTTGTGCTTCACATGCACTCAACTTGCAGGAATGTGGATATACTGCTGTCATGGAGACAAGCTGCGGAAATACACCTTTTGCGATTGATCGCTTTGCGTATTAAGATTGATGTCTGCATGCCAAATCTATTACCCTGTATATATTTTTGCCGTCAGTTCATCCGAAAGCTAACATCGAAAACACCCCAACGGACAATTTAGGGTCTTTTGTTTTGTTATTTTGCTTGGCCGAATTTATTAATTTATTTGAACAGCCTTACATTTCATGTAAACATTTTCATCCTCAGCTAAATGCCATGCTTTTCCAGTTAACATCTATATCTGTTTTTTAGAGCGGAATCTTAAACTAAACCCCCCCCCCATTAGTTCCACTGTGATGATGGTGCATTGATAAAGGTGGAAGGAAGCTATTGTTGATAGTGGAAACCCAGATGTCACTTTTGAATGTAAATACACTTTAAACATAATACGTGCAGCACCGAAGCATGCCAAACCACGTGCTGGGTAGCAACCAAGTCACAATCATGTACAGTGCCGACATCCAACGTAACTGCACAGCCCTTTGAGTCAACAGGCGGATGGCCAACAGGAAGACGGCGAACAGCGTAGAGCAAGCCCTAATGCATTGTGTCGTTGCAGCTCTGTATTCCTCCATCGATACAACGCCGTTTCACTCTGGGCCCAAAGTGAAACTCGCATCAATTGCCATGCAGCAGTGTCCCCGCAACATAGAGATGTTTCTAAAGTTGAACGATTATGATAGATCTTGTATCGCCAATGGCAAGAACATTTATTGAGCAAGCAAAACCAAAAGTTGTGAACAATGATATACAACTTATTACCATATTACCTGGATTATAAGACGATTTTTTTATCCTTTGTATTTTAAAGCAGAAGTTGTGGGTTCGTCCTATTATCCACTAGTTGTATACGTTTGTGTGTGACCAAATTTTTTAAAAGTTCTTGCCATGGGGCACATGTTTGAGGTGGGTCTTAATTTTCGGATCATCTTATAATCGAGAGAATACGGTAATTGCATCCTTATCAGCGTCACCAGCCTCACTAAGCAGTGCCCTTCGAATAATTTGTCTCAGATTTCCCAAAAATATGCCGATTGCCAAGTTGGGAAGTCCTTGTCAAGCTGCTTAGCAGCCCATGGCAATGCACCTGCGGCGCAACATTACCAGTCAGAAACTGGATGCAGGCCGTTTGACAATGGGCTGTTTGGAAGCACAGTAATTTGGAAATTAATTTCGATCATATTTATCCCCAATTATAGAACCCCGCTGTAATGCAGAGCTGACGGTGCTAAAAGCAAACATGTGCCACACAGTGCCATTATAATTCTCTGTAAATCATTACCTTCTTCATTCTTAAAGGGGCAATTCTCCTCTTCATCCTTCTGCGGTGTCATGTTGCGCATTTTCCTAGAACACAGTAATGAGATACTTGAAAATGGCTCAATGCTAAATAATGCTCACGTGTTAAAACGTTCAGGGGCTCACATTCCATAGTGTTGACCTTGGATATCATCGTGATTTGAAATATTCAGAGATTACTTCTTTCCACTGAAGGTTTATTTAGATATCAATTAGGGGGTCTGCGAATTCACACAATGTGGCCCAAGACTATTGTAAAGCCAGAGAAAGAAAAATAACATGCGCTGCCAAGAATACTGTAAATAATGCCCTGTCTGTGTCAACGGAACCTAGTGTCAAGACAATCCTCCTTGCAGAAATATTTATCCAAATAATTGAAATAGAACTCTAATAACTAAACACCAATTGACCAAATTATGGCCAACTTTTGTATTGTTCTATGTTATTGTAATAACTTGGGCATGGTTAATAGTTCATTTTGAAGCTCTACAATTTCATGAAAAAGCTAAATATTATCAAAGGTTCGTTTAATTTATTTTATTTTATGAATAACAGGGAGTTTCATTTAAGGAAAATTTTTGTTTCAAAGAAAAAAGTTCATTACTGCCACTGTGAGAGTCTAAGCAAAACAACTTAATCTCATTCCAGCAATTGAGGGAAGAAGAAAAAAACAACAACATTATAGAAGCATAGTAAAAAATTTACCTTCAGACCAAACAACAAATATAGAACATTGACCCATTGAAGAGAAGACAGATTGAGCACCCGACACCGACCGAGCTCAAGCACACCACAGTGCTGAGAGACTGCCGCTTGTGCAAGCGCAGAGTGCTCACCTTCGCCGGATGCAGACCACCGTGAAGACGATGAAGGCAAGAAGAATCACGGCACACACGACTATGACGGCCACACGAGTCGTATTGGAGTGTTCTGTAAAGCCACCAGAGCAAACCTATTTACATGTGCATCGCCAGCAAGAGCATCACCACAATGTAATATAACTACTATATCTATACAACATTTTTGTTGCAAATGCAATGTAAGCATTGCTTGCCACTTCTCTTCACTACAAAGCCAGCGATGTTATCTTCCCGACCACTTAACACGTGGTTACAATAAGGCATCCAATTGCCCTTCGTTTAAAACAATCCACCTTGCATCATTGGCTGTACCTTACGCCAGCAAAACTATAGAGCAGGATGGCATTTAAATAACAAAGGTGGTAATCTTGATTTGAAGCTTTTGTGAATGCAGGAATCCATACTCTTTGGTTCTTTCGGTAAAGTCACATAGGTAGAAACATAAAATAAAAATAAAATAAAACAAAAAGATTATTAAAATAAAAGCAAAATAATACTTATTTATTTTTTATTTATTTTTTGTACCCAGGGGCGGAGCCAGGGGGGTGACAGGGTAGATAATTGTCACCCCCGAAAAAAATCGAGAATCTGAAACATTCTGCGTATAAGTGTATGACACTCGGTCTGGCGGACTCCGTGCAACTGCATTGTCAGAGCGTGTCGCCAACCGATGGCGTCTAGTTCAACAGCCTGACTCTCTAATCATTCTTGAAATTAACATTTGTTGACTGTTACCCCGGGCTGAAAATCCTGGCTCCGCCCCTGTTTCTACCAACGTGACTTTACCGAAACAAAGGTGGTGTTTGGTTTCCATTTGTGATCGCCCAGTGTTGGCCTTGTACCCAGGGTCCGTCGCGCTGTCCTGGCTGTGGAACTCACGGTACTGGTCGGTGTTGATCTCCACGGGGTCGCTGGGTTTGCCGAAGCCGGCGGCCGTGCGAGCCCGCACCTCAAAGCCGTACACAATTTTGGCCCGGAGGCCCTCGATGCTGGCCGACGGCACCTTGGTGTGCAGGATGTTGTAGCTGGTGTCCCGCTGGCCCTGGGAGAGGACGCACGGCGCACGCGTGAAGTCCAACCGCGGCTTAAGCGGCCAGGGCATTTGTTGCACGCACAGCAACACAAGGAACCCCTCCCCCACCCCAGCCCTCTTCAACACATTTGGCGGTTAGGCCAAGTGCTGACACCGCACACGAGGGAGCGCAGTGCAAAGTATGCCTGTCACCTGTCACCGTTGCCCTCTCTAAGCACTGGTGTCAATTAAAATCACCCCATATTCTGCTCTGATGAGTTTATCTAAGGGGGGGGGGGGGGGGGGGGGGTAATACTTGCTGTGTATGGTTATTTCCGACATATGCCAGAACTGACATTCAAATGGGGAAAGTGCTGTTGCACACAAAGACAAAATGACAAATATTCCTCTATAGCTATGCAGACTGTTAGGCCAGGTGCTGCAAGCGAGCACCAGTGCAAGCCTAGCACAGTGGCACACTGATGTGGTGTGGCCTTAACCACTCCCAGCCACATTTGTCTCCCAGTGCTGATGATTTCATACTGCACAAGGTACTCATTTAAGTCATGGAGGTCCCTGGACCAGTTCATATATTCACCACTGAAGTTAGCTGGGGCCAGAAATAAAACTCAGGATGGGGGGGGGGGGGTATGTGTTAACTACTGCACCACCGCTCCCCACAACAGAAACGCGTCGCTTTAACTAGGTGTGTGTGTGCTAATTTACATACATTTACAGAGTCATGCATACATTTATACCAGTACTGTTCGACCCTTCACCTGCAATTCCGCAAAAACAAGAATCACACTTACATGAAATTCAAATTTGAGGTCACCTTAGCAAGGAAGTTTTTCACACAGCAAACATGCCCCATGCCACTGTTACACAGCAAACAGACTGTGTGCCAGTATCTCAAAGACTGACCCATAAATTATGAACAAATATATAAATAAAATAAAGCAGACACGCTTATATTACAATAAAATATGTTTTAAAGTGCGGTTATCAAAAGCTATGAAGAGTGAAAATGGCAACACATTAAAATAATCCATTTAAGACATCTGGCCAATATGGAAGTTTAGGCCAAATTATGCTCAGGAGAGTCTTTGTAGAGCTTCCTTGAGTGCAAGGCCTTGCCATTGCTCATGGTTTAAAGGGGACAGATATGAAGATATGAAATAATTTCAGTAAACCACAGCGTGACCTTTCAAATGAATGTTAATGGGCTTTCCAAATAAATTTCAAACGAAATAAGTTTCTCGAATATAAATGTTAAATATTCCTTCTGGAAAAAAATAATTACTCATGCTCGTTCAGCACAGGAAGACTGATACTACACGGGCTAAGCTTATAATCGCCTGCATGAAAGGTACACTGTGGATAACACACAGCATATTGAAACAGCATGATTGTATTTGAGGGATAGAGTGACAAAGAAAACAATGCCTTGGATACCAATGATGTTAAAAGATAAATGAGCCTAGGGAGGAACTGGGAAGTGGAGGGAGCAGGTGAAAGGGCTAAACATAACACAAAGTATTAACAGCTGTATTCAAAGGCGGAAATTGAGTAACGTTTATACTGCACGGTGGAGGGACATGGAGGATAAGAGGTTTCATAGGCCGGTCCCATATTGCCGCTGTGACAGCGTGACCATTTACAGTCGCGCCCGTGTTACCGCTGCTGAAAGTGTAACCATTACGTCGAATGACGGGAAGGTACATGTCGGGTCAAACACACATTTTGTGTAGGGCTCTGACACTGGGAGGGGCTCTTTCAGCGGCCGAGAGGAAACGGTGAGAAGCATAGAGAGGCCGGGCTGGAATTTGTTTGAACCAAGGCGGTTGAGATTGCAGCATCGTGTGACAAAAATAAATAGATAAAAAGAAACACATTGTTTCTTAGCAAAGAGGGAACTGCCGAGTTGCCCCCCCACCACCCCCAGGGAAACATTTTGGATAACTTCCTGCACAATTACAATTGCCTATTTAAAGCCAGCAAATTAGCACTTGTCAATGTATTTCAATATAGGATATAGGATGGTGGACTTCATGTGCAACAATGGCACATGCCCCTCTTCTACGCTTGTATACCAATGCATACGTTTAAAATCATAAAAAAGTATTTATTTATTACATTTTCTTGCTGTGGTTTTCACACCTGATGATGATTGCTTGTGTTGCAGTCGAAACGTCGTGAGAATTTTATTGTTTTATATTTTTATTATTTTATTCTTTCCCTTCTACGTGACTTTACTGAAAGAACCAAGAATATGAATCCCTGCAGTCACGAAAGCTTTAAATAAACATTACATTAATGTCAAGCAAAAACCTACAAATAATTCAGTTCAAATAAATACATTCATAAAACCTTAAACGCCCTCCGTAATTTATTTTGCTCTTACGACATGCGCCAACCTCTGAGTGCAATTCGCTTTGATGTGCCCCTGTGCAGTGCTCAATCGAAGGTAATGAATTACTTGGCTATGCGGCATTCAGTAAAACCTGTCTATTAGGACTCGTAGTTGCTATGTTATTATAGTCTGCATAGCGTTCCCCGCAGCATTGCCACCCACACAGCCGAACCTTCTTTGATCAATTATTAATCTCTCTCTGTGTCACATCCAAAACCCGGCGCACCATTGTATTGCTGGATATGTCTTAATTCCTGCATCGCGCAACGTTAATATGGCGTTGGGTGGCCTTTATCGAGCAGTGGAATGACAGCGCGCGGTAAACAAATTATATTAAAGCTACTGTGGTCATTGCACAATGTTGGTGGAGACAGGTTTGACTTTTCGAATCACTTTTTACACATAAAGCCGGGGCAACAATTGCCACATGTCACGAAGAAAACGCAAAGGCCCGTGGGCTTGTGGTGCAGCGTGACCTGTGCCATTACGTGCCCGGCTGTGGAATAAGTACACAGTGCAGGCACTATCCTTGACACTTTATTTAGGCCTCTCAATGTGAGGCCCCTTTTATCGTGACTTCGGTTCCCAGATGAATGGCCAAACAGAATGGAGGCGTGCAATGCTAGCTTGCGAGTGTGATTGACATCTGGGTGTTATAACCGCCGAGTAAGAATCACCCTTCCCGTATGCTTTGTGAGAAGTGCAAATACACATTGTGGGCAAGGCCAAGGTACATTTCTTGCAAGCACATCGCCGAGGGAAGCATGCCTCTCGCTTTGGCTATTGCAACAGTTTGAAGTCAAACATTAGACATGTTTGTCAGCTGATTGCCATGATTATCTGCTGCACTGAAATAAAAGCTATAGACCAGTGGTGGCCAAACTGTGGCTTGCAAGCTGCATGCTCCTCCCAGGCAGTTTCCAAGCAGCTAATGTTTTACTTTTCAACTTTACTTTAAATAATGAAAATCGAAACATTGGGGGAGTGGGCCGGAGCATTCAAATGCTGCCAGTGGAGCCAGACATAAGTACTCCCAAGGCGCTCCCACAGATTTCAAAATTCACCAGTCCACAGCCAGCCAGCACGAGAAAAAACGGCCGGTTGACTACCCCATGTGACCTGTTCAGCGTCTAGTGATTCTCGGCCATATGAAGATTTAGTTATGGTACTCGTAGGGTCAGAAAGTTTGACCACCTCTGCTAACCGCTTGTTTCACCCTCGAAAGTCTTAATGAATATGCAATACCTTTTCGTAGTACTTGATTTCGTAGTCCAGGATAATTCCATTTGGTTGATCTGGTTGGAACCATGACAGCTTCACGTGGTCCTTAGTTTGCATCTCGTACCACAGTGACCTGATTTTAGATGGAGCTGGAACATAGGGACAACAAAAATCAACATAAATATTTATGTTAATGAGTCAGTTGTTAACAGTATTACACATTTTTTTACTTTACTCTCTCTCTTTAAAACTGGCAAAACAGCGGAATGTATTCAACATTGTTTAAAATCTATCATCACCGTTGTGGTGATAGACTGTTTCAGCAAAGCACTCCCACACCTCCATTTCAAAAGGTCACAGAAATACATTTTAGGAACAGAAATATGAGAAATGCTTTTGGAAAATGGCTCAACAAACTGACAGTTTTACATCCGCCCCCGTAATACCTGATCACTGCGATCACTAGAACATTCACCCACATGTTGTGTCTCAAACTATACACATACCAAACCAGTGGCCTCATAATATATGGCCGTCTTTGGGGAGTTGTAAGATTCTGAAAAAAATGATCCAACTTTCATAAATGCGGATGCAACCCCAAAGCAAACCAGCGGCGAGATTTGGCGTGATTTCGTTTGATGTTTTAATAAAGACAAAGCAGATTTAGAAGCCATATCTCTGTGTGCCTATCACATTTTTCATGCATGTCAGATTCACGTGACTTAAATTATCATGAATTCTCTGTTCAGGTGTTTTATCATTTGTGTGTCGTTTGACACGTCCAGGGTGCCATGGCAGTTAATATTGCATGCCGCTCTCCTCTGTTGTCACAGGCCAACATTTATGGCCATCAAAATCAACATCATTTCCGTCAAAACAAACTCCTTATCAACAACGAATTTCCCGTTCTCGAAAAACGATTTCATTCGAACAATCTGTACATGCACAACGTGTAATTACACAAAAAGACTACGATAAACTTAAGAAGAAAAATCACACTGAATATAGAGATAGCTATGTATTGCAACACTAAAGCTAACGTATACAGCATCTCAAACACATTGCTTTTTTAACATTTACTTCACATCCACTAATATGCTGCATGTGTGCGTGCATTCTCTTTGCTACAATCGCAGCAACCTAGATTTCATTCCCAGCCAGACGACTCATCTTGGGTCTCCCCTCTAGGTCAAATCAGCCTTTTACTAGCACCTGGTCCTATACATATATTTGTAAATATAAGCACTTGGGAGACAAAGGTGGACAGGCATGGTGCCACCCCCTCTTGGGTCACACTGACCTTAATAGGTGCTCACTTCACAGTATTTTCCCTTACAGTCTGTAGTTTGAGTCTATCCAGGAGTATATTTGCCTTTGCCTTTTGTATGCACGCAGAGTGCTTTGCACCACAATTCTAGTGACCTAGGTTACAAGTGGCAATTTGAATCTGCACCTAGCCTGGGCCTCCGTTCGGTTGGCTCAGCCTAAATTAAGTAATATCTTACGGCGTATTCTCACCTGGTACAATGCCAATCTTACAAACAAAAAAACACTCGCAAATAGCATACGCACAGAATATTAATTTGAATAGAGTGGTGATTGTTATCTTCATTTGTATTTGTAGACAAAACATTTTTCAAGGCCTGTTTGAATCCCACCTTAACCCAATAATAGTGCTGCAGTATAATTACACTCACGTGTTACAAGTATTCAAGGTGAAGAACAAATCCCCATGATTTAGCTTTTCTAAGGTTGGATGTTAAATCCCTATGTAATGGTGCCAAATAAAACACATTATTCACTACAATTATTAAGTAAATGGAAAATCCATATACGGTAGTAGCAATAACAATATATGTTTTATTGTACACCTGCTAAGTTAAGATGCTCCCATACGGAAGAAAAATGACTGGCACATATATAAGACGACAGAGTATATGTATGCAGTACGGCATATAAAGGATTTGTACCTTCAAACAATCAAGCCGCTGACAGGAGCCGTCTCGCGAAATATAGGAAGTGCGGATCTGCACGGGATCTGCTTTGGCTGTATGTTGAACTTCTTTCACACCGTACATAACCAACTGCACTAAGGCTGTCATCTCAGTTGGGGGGGGGGGGGAAGGGTGGCTCTTTTGAGTGCTGACACCTCGAATCTCCACAAGCTATGACAGGCCGGCCGTGAGTGGAGGACAGCTCCAGGCTGAGGACCGCACAGGCAACAGGCCCCGACAAGACGAATCTCTATCACGACGCCCCATCAGTGTACCGCACCAAAACCACTGCCTCGCCCTGTGCCCAACAAAGAGCACCTGACTCTGCCCTCTCGCAACCTGTCTTGCATTCCCCCCCGAGCCAAGTTGGTGGTGATAAGTCACGGGTGTGTGAACGTCTATGAGCGAAGCAGGCTTGGGCTTATCTGCTACGAAGCGTAGTATGTGTTGCAGATATACCTAAAATTCAAACATTTTTTTGATTGCATTTTTTTTTTTAGAGACAATCTTTCACGGCGAAATGTGGGATCGCTTTTTCAATTATATAATAATGTGACGTGTCCTCATGCGAACACAAGTGACGGTCGCCCGATGTCACGTGGCACCAGCGTGAAACGCGATGGAATGGAAAAGCGACGTCCCCTCTGGTGATGTCGTTACTTTCAGATCAAGCCGCAACAAAACCAAGGAGATTCGGATCATCAGAAATGTTACATCCAAGGCCCGATGTTTTCAATAAACCATAGCGAGCATTCGCGGGCTGACCCGTACGATGAGAGAGGCGAATATACGCCGAGAGGAAATGGAAGCTTACGACAAAAGGAGTTTTGCTCTTGCCCATAGTCAGTTTGTTCTCGTGGATTTTTGCAACAGGTTTTACATTTACAACGTACGCGGCGCGTGAACGTGACATTTCATGCCGCTGAATAAAACCATGCGCAACTACCTTGCGTTCGCTGTCGGCACACCGTAAAACCCTTCGCTTACATTGCATCTCCCGCATTCACGGCGATTAAGTGCCACGCCACTTGCAGGCAGCATGAAATACAAACGAAAAAAAATATGCAAGATTACAGGGACCCACGACGAGTCACTGAGCGTTTTTAGACAGCATATCTTAACGTGTCAAAAAAAACACACTCATTGCAGATATGCTTTTGCACAAGAGCTATGACTACCCCCCCCCCCCCCCCCCCAAGAAACGCTGACGTCGCTGAACTGAGATTCCATCATTCTTCCCTAATTTTGAATTAAAGAGGGCGTCAAGCACACGTTTAGTCGTGCATGATGGGGAAACGTTCAAGCTGGCATCAGGTAGGTGTGGGGGTGTGGAGGATGGGGGGGGGACGTGGTGTCACGTTTCCTGTTCGCCAGCTCTTTAATCATTTCTTCAGACGCCCGGCAGCCAAGGATGGATAAAAAAATCCAGGCCATTCTCCATAACTCCTTTCAAGCATAAAATAGAATGTGAGATGATTATTTATATGAGAGCATTTGTAAACGAACTGCCACATGTCTGAAAGTGGTATCGGGTTTTCTGGATATTTACAATTGTATTGTAGTAATCTGTTTTTTTTTTGTACGTTCCAACATGGCCTAATGCCTGTTAAGTGAAGCTGCAGATGACATTTATTACGTGCAATGAAACACGAACCAGAATGCACCCTGGCACGAAAATTATATTAAGAAGCATCTTGACAAGGAAGTGTACATTCGGAAACAAAACTGTACTCTGTTGTGTACGGCATCTTTATATTGTAATACAGTACATATACAGCCTTGTTGTAAATCGACTGTTGGATGAGGGCCTGCCCACGCCATGTGAGTGGTGGGAGTTATTTGATCATACTTCGCCACGCTTGTCAGTGCGCGTTGGTGAAGGCAGGAAGCATAGACCCGTGAGCATAATAGAGTACATCATGGGATAGTGCTGCACTCTCCTCTGCTGTCCCCAGCGTAGTCCCGCAGCAGCCTATAACGCATGCTCTATGCCTGCTGGTCACCAATCTAAGCACGTTCAAGGCTCAACCCATGATTATCTGCCAACCTATAATGAGACCAGGTGGATTTCTGGCGATTTAGTCATAGGTACATGGTACATGTTTGTGTAATATGTACACACAATGCACTACACATCTTTAAACAAACAAAAACACTATGCTGTTCACGTCTACGTTTTCTAAATACAAACAGTGGCTCATTCACAGGGATGTCAATTTTAGACACGACCTGGAACTCAGCCTAATAAAATAATAATTGTCCTCACGGAGTTATCACAGCTTAATTATCAAACCCTTATGCTGGGGGGCTCCTACGATCCACATTTCACCACACACTTCACTACGCCAACATAAACACGCTCTGTCGCATTTTCAGAAGCAGATGTAGCATTCACTAGCGCTGCTTAATCAGGCGCCTAAGTAAAATGCACACCTTGTGTTGGTCAATGAAGAGCTGTCCAAGACTTTCGTAAAATTCGACATGAAATAATATTCTTTAATTGCTTGAACCCAATCCAAGCCATACTATCTTGATCGACCTATAGCTTATACCTTTTTTTAGCTTTATCCAGGAAAAATACTTTTTCAGGAGGATTTTTAATTGGTAGGTTTGGCAAATTCCATTTGCTTTGCACATGGGATGGAAAGCATGCAGATGAGTGGATAACACCCAAAGCCTGCCCAGATGGATTCAGAACCCATTTACCAAAATGCCATCTCCTGGCTAACTCACAGTTTGGAAGTTTGAAAACTCTGTCATTAAATCACGCCTTGCCTCCAGACATCTGGATTATACACATATCAGCCTCTTAAGTCCAGGCATCTAAGCTGATCTATCAACAAAGTTGCCTCTCCATTAAAAGTGGGAATAAGTTTGAGACTGTCAAATGAAAAAAGAGCAATGCACAGGGCTTTTGGCAATGAATCTCACATTGCGAAATTCAGCCATAACCCCGGGGGCAAGAGTGAGGAGGACTTTAATTCCTTTCACAAATATTAAAAAGGAGAACCACACCCTTCAGAGAGTATGCCGACGCATGCCTGGAGAGTGTGTCAAATAGGAAATGGTTCGCAAACTTGCCAGAGATTGAAAGCAAGGGTCATGCATGTATTTGTAGCTGTTTGCCATGCACCAAAGTGAAATCTTCCAAAATGGGAAATCCACCTATGCTGCTATAGCAAATCCAGTTCAACTCCTAAAACAGTTGTGGGCTACAGACATGGGAGAGTGAACAGTTGTCTGCAAACGTGCAGAGTGCACACTTGCAACAGGGTCCAGGTAGCCTATAAAAGACACGTGTGTTCATCATCATCAGCGCTGACACACAAGTGGAGTGCGATGACTTTGGGCAAGTGAGAGGGTAGTGTCCGTACGCAGAATTGTCATCACTATGTGAGCATTGGTGGTAAGAGAGCTGGCCACCACCACAGGCTGATAAAAAAATCAAGTCTGTGACCTATAAGCAATCGAATCCTATCATTGTCACCGGCAGCAGACTGAGTTGCTCAAATTGGACACCAAGGACATGCAACAATGATTATGGAAGGGCAACCCAAAAACCTTTATTATGAACAACTGAGCTGTCACTATTGTGCACACACATGGCACACTTTTGTGTCTCGCCAAAGCCCTGTAAGAAACACGGCTTTGGCGAGACACGCCGCATCACGATTTGATAAAATACCAGGTGTTTTCCAGCATCTCATGTGTTACTGTTTCAAATGATTTTGCTGTGAGCTGTTTAAGAAAATGCACGCCGTTAGGTGTTTTGGCATTTACTTTGTCGTTCACATACTCACAACATCGCAACCACGCAAATCAAGCTGCTGTCTAAATTATAATAAAGTATTAACGGTTGATTGCTCCATGGACGCACTGTTTACTGCAAGGTGGGCACACGTGGGTTTCTGAAGCCCACCAGGCAGGTGCTTGTAAATGCTAAAAGTAGGGCATGGGAAGGATGTTTACATGTTTACACCGTCACAAAGGCTGAGGTTCCTGTTGTTAGACGTGCCAATCATTGGAGGATTTTGTAAACACTCCTGTGAATGAGGCTTCTCACCAAAACGTGATGGATGTGTGTGTAAACAGTGTGTGCAACACAATGCCAAAATGGTTTCCATGTGTGTGCTCTCACTGCTTACAAGAGAACTCTTGTTTTCTGTACCAACACGAATGTTTATAAATGCATCCCGGCATTTGCATTAGCTTTTAAAGTCAGGTCTTACGGTACGCTCATGTATCCACAACCTCCCGTGCCTTTCGTAAGTCTGCTTTACCTAAACATTTTAAAGATATTTTCCAGAAACGCATTTATTTATTTAACTATCACAGTGTTTTCCTGCGCAACGGGAAAACGCTGTACGGGCACACGCGCGACATCCTGGATACAAAAAAAAACCCTACGTATTTTCGTCACGACACATGCGTGGAGCAAATTATGCTCCGATCAAATAAAACCTATTTAACTTTCTACCAGGGCAGGCAACGCAGGATCTCGCACATTACTCTTGTCAGCTGCGCGCCTCGACCAAGCTGCTCACCCATCACCCACACCCCATGAGCAGACTAAGGCACAACATGAAACCTTAATGCCCATGAACCCTCCGTTAAAGCGTAGCCAATCTGTCCCATTATTAATAAATTTGCAGCAATAACTAAAAATGCCCCGCGTCTACAACAAGTTCCGTAATTGATTCCAGCGTTAAAGTCGGCTACCCGTCATAGTGGCGACCACATTATCAACTCGCGCCGCCCTGCTCAAGAGTTTAAAAGCGTTTCCATATTCCTCAGAAAAGGTCCATGCTCAGTGCGACGTCCATATTCAATTTCCAGATATGGTATAGATACATAAAAAATGTTAAACGAAATACAGGCTCATGGGAAAGTACAAAAAAATTGACATAATAATAGACCATACAAGCCAAATGGACATTTTTTATATATATTTTTGACAGCATGGCAATTTCATTTTACAAAACTCGCTTGAATAAACATTCCCCCCCCCACCCCCGCTTAATTGATACCTGCAGTGAGGTAGCCTACACGAAGGTGGTTTGTGTGTGGGTATGAGATATGGCCAGGCTGAAATAGAATGCATATTTACAGCCCGAGGCGCACACAAACAAAGTATCCAGACATCGCACAAGTCCAACGAGGCACAGTCATGACGAGCTACTTGCTGGGCAAGGCGAAACAGAAAAATCCTACTCGACATTATATACCTTGTATCTACACACCGCTCGCATGGTGCGCTCAGATCCAGAAAGACACGCACAAGTGCATTCATAAAGGGTCCCGCTTCCTTTTTTCAATGCAAGCATCATTTCAATGGCTAGAGCAATTCCGTGCACATACCAAGTACGCACGTAGACTTTCTCACGGCGTGTGACTCCATCTACGGAAGATTATCACCTTCGAATAGCTAATGCTGCAAACAAGACCCAGAGAGCTCACTGGATGGCCGAACATTTCTTTACTTTTCAGCTTAGCAAGCGAGAAGAAAAATCTCATTTTCACATTGTAAAGCCTGGGCGATGGATCACGGTGCAATTATGTGTTTTGAACGAGTAGTTCATCACGATTAACTTGCCCCTCAAACACATTTGCTGAAAAAAAGAAGCCCGGAGTGCATTTAATTGCTAGCAGGCACTCAGTGTGGTTGGCCAGAACTGGGAGATACTGCGGTTTACAACATTGAAAAGTGCAATTTGAAATTGCCAAAAGATGGTATTTTTTTATAATTGAGACATTTGTGGTGCAAATACGAATAATATCTGCTTAACTCATATACACGTGTAACCTAAATGCATGTCCGCTTATTACTTTTGGCTACTTACGGTGTGAAAGAAGTTGAACATACAAACAAATGAACATAAATGCACTGCACTTGCTTATTTAATATTTGTGAAGAAAAATTTAGCAAAGAGGCTATTGCCATCAGAAATACTCGATGCATGGTCTTTAAAAAGCATAACAGCAAAATAAATAATTGGTCCAAGTTTTGATACAAGAAGTCAAACCTGCCATATTATATAGCTTCTGTATATACTTCCATATATGCCTTGTAGGCATATAACAGACACATCGATTGGTCAACTAAAATAGATCCCTATGTTTCCGATACATGAACAGAATCTTGCTAGCAAAAGTAAATTATTTTCAATTTTTTGCAAATTTTGCATAAAATTACACGGTAATGGAGTGACGAAAACAATACAAACGGGACAGTGAAGTGGAACCAAAGTGTAATCGATTCCTGACCCCGAATCAAGATAATTCACCCGAATTGCAGTGGGGGTGCATCGTTACATTCATAAAGTCCTGAAAATACGACCACGATACGACTTGGTTTTACAGCGTGTCTCAATACGTCACGGGAAACATACGTATAAATACATAACCTGTGACATTGTGACACCGAGCAAGGAGAATACCGGTGACATGTGCACGGTGTCGTGCACCCATCACGGCACGGACGCGGGGGATCCTCACCGGCCTGGTTGGTGGTGAGCGACACGGACACGGCCTTGGGCGGCGCGGGGCTGAGCCGGGAGACCCCGTTGAGCGCCTCGATGCGGAAGGTGTAGTTGGTGTGCGCCAGCAGGTGCGCGATGGTGACGCCGGGCACCGCGAGGCCCTCGCGCCGCGGCAGGAAGCGCACGCTGTCCCCGCACGGAGCGCACGGCGACGCCGCCGCCGTCAACGTCGCCGCTGTCGACGACGACGACGGTGCGGCGGCGGCGGCGGCGGCGGCGGCGTCCCTGCCCCCGCCGCACGTCTGGCACACGAGGCGGTAGCTCACGTCGCCGCGGCCCCCGCTGTCCTGGGGGGGGCTCCACTCCAGGATCACCGACGTCTCGTTCACGCTCGAGATCACGTTGCGCGCCGCCGACGGGGGGCCTTGCGTGCACGGACGAGCGCAAATCGTTACAATCACGTTAATAATAATAACAACAACAACAACTGGCAGCGCTGAATCAAGTAATTGTCGGACGAAGGCATGCTGTTTTGTTTTTGGGGGATTGTTTGACCATACTTCACTACGTATGTATGTATGTATGTTGAACCTCTTTCACACTGTATGTAGCCAACCGCGCTAATCGTAGGTGTGCGGCGAGTGACTCTATGGGAACGCCGGGGTCTACTGAGCCTGGGCTGCACAGTGGCCAGGAAATCGCATCGAAGTAGTGGGTCCTTGAATCTATCCATGCAGAGCTTTGAATTGTTATTAGCATGGTTGGCACCTCCGATTGGCACGGTTGGCTTCGTACGGTCCGAAATAAGTTCAACATACATTCATTTGTACATACACTATGCCCTCGTATCTGTAAGTTTTCTCCATTTAATCTGCCAAAGCACTTTTTTTATGGAATTTGCCAAAAGTCCAAATTTGCAGTCGCATGCAAAAAGAGTCTTAAAACACACTGATGCTTTTATGGATAAATAAAGGATATTATGTGTATTACTTGTACATGTGTACATAGGGGCATTTACATTCCTCTACTTTTCATAAGGACAATCATTCAGCAGTGGCTTGATGAACGACTGACACACTGGAGTAGGATAACAGCCATGTCTTGTGTACCTAGAAAAGCCTCAATGGACACGTCGTTGTATCGCCATGTCACGAGCAACGCAAACGAGAACACAGATATTTTAACTTTAATCAAAGTTTAGAGTGTCCTTTTCAATGAGGATGTGTGCCAACAGCCACTCTCAGCAGTGCCCTGTAAAGTGCAACAGTTAATCTTTGCACTGGTTTAAACGTCCCTTTAAACGCATCAGTATCAGCTGTTCCCATCGTTTTTTTATGTTTTTACGGTATTATGAACCTCAGAGCAAAGTCGACACAGTCGCTTTTCATTGAGCGTTGTGCAATTACCACGACTCCCTTAGCAATGGGACTTTAACATTCAAACTTGCGAAACCCATTCACAGTTATGTGCGTTTACTTTGTGGATTTGTTGCTGTTTTTACCATCCGTATACATTGGGTTATTTTCGCGCAGGTGTTATCAAATATTTGTTTAACATTTAAACACAAAATAATGCCAAAGCACTGTATATTCGGGGGTTGAGCAGTTGAGGCGGAATTTGTTGAGCCAGTTTCCATAGAATGAGATGGTTCGATTCCTGCAGCCGCTGACATCATTCCCGATATTATCACACTGCATGCTAGTGCCGCAGTAAAACTGTGAAAAATGTCTAACTGCCGTGATGCAAGTACATCTCCCGTGAGACACAATTCATCTCATCAGGGTCTCACTCATATAAAAATACATTTACACGCATATCCAATAGTATATATATATATTTTTTAAAGTCTATGTCTTGACACAGCTGGGCAAGCGTCAAGATAACATAAGAAACCACATTCACCATTGACGCTGCTTTATACCAGTAAAAAAAAGTGAGTGGGCTTGGGCAGTCACGTGGTTAAATGGGACAATGATGGGCGGTGAAGAATAATGATGGAGAGTGGCAGCTGCTCGTGGGAAAGTGGACATGGAGCGGTGAAATCAGCTCACGTGCGAGTGTAACAATCCACTAGCTCATGCTGTTGGATTGTTACAATGCAGAACCATGAGCGATGGCTTTTGGTAATTTCATCGTTGATGAAAAATGTCCAACTGCCGTGATGAAATTACCATAAGAGTACTTAGTAGTCTGAAGTTATGGACAACGGCGATTCTTCACGACAGATAGAGAGAGCAGAGAGATTAGCTGCCTGTATAGTTGGGCCGACGGTGTCACTTACGTGTGCATGGGGAGCTGACAGGGTCAGCTTCTGCCCTGTAGTATCCCGCTTTGCATCCGCAGTGCGTGGATGCGAGTCGAGTGGTGAAGCTCTCCGGAGGACACAGGTCGCACGGCTGCCCTCCCGTCGTGTTCTTGTAGTAGCCGAGTCCACAGGCTGCAGGCACACAGCACACCACACAATGCTAATACACGAGCCACTCACACACAACACTAATACATTCACCACTCACACACAACGCTAATACACTCACCACTCACACACAATACTAATACACTCACCACTCACACACAACACTAATACACTCACCACTCACACACAACACTAATACACTCACCACTCACACACAACACTAATACACTCACCACTCACACAACGCTAATACACTCACCACTCACACACAATACTAATACACTCACCACTCACACACAACGCTAATACACTCACCACTCACACACAATACTAATACACTCACCACTCACACACAACACTAATACACTCACCACTCACACAACGCTAATACACTCACCACTCACACACAATACTAATACACTCACCACTCACACACAACGCTAATACACTCACCACTCACACACAACACTAATACACTCACCACTCACAATGCTAATACACTCACCACTCACACACAATACTAATGCACTCACCACTCACACACAACGCTAATACACTCACCACTCACACACAACGCTAATACACTCACCACTCACACACAATACTAATACACTCACCACTCACACAACGCTAATACACTCACCACTCACACACAATACTAATGCACTCACCACTCACACACAACGCTAATACACTCACCACTCACACACAACACTAATACACTCACCACTCACAATGCTAATACACGAGTCACTAACACACAACACTAATACACTCACCACTCACACACAACACTAATACACTCACCACTCACACACAACGCTAATACACTCACCACTCACAATGCTAATACACGAGTCACTAACACACAACGCTAATACACTCACCACTCACACACAACGCTAATACACTCACCACTCACACACAACGCTAATACACTCACCACTCACACACAACACTAATACACTCACCACTCACACAACGCTAATACACTCACCACTCACACACAATACTAATACACTCACCACCCACACACAATACTAATACACTCACCACCCACACACAACACTAATACACTCACCACTCACACAACGCTAATACACTCACCACTCACACACAATACTAATACACTCACACACAACACTAATACACTCACCACTCACACACAACACTAATACACTCACCACTCACACACAACACTAATACACTCACCACTCACAATGCTAATACACGAGTCACTAACACACAACGCAAATACACAAGTCGTTTCATGCACAATGTTCATACACTAGCCGCTCGCAATGCTCCAAGCGAATCACTTCTGTGCTCCTTTAATTAAAGGACAGAAAAATGTTCAAGAATATAATTAAGAAAAAAAACATATACTTCACACTAAATAATGAAACATACAGCAGCATACATTTCCACAGCTGCGCTGTATGGCTCTGCGGTGTGCTTTTGGGTTGTGCTGCTGCATTGCTTGAAGCTCAAGAAGCTGTGCGAAATGTCGGGCATCATGCCGACCGATACGTAGGCCACAACCCGAAATCACTCTGGAGGAGGAGTTAAGCAACAGCGAATGAGATTAAAATATCAGTTTGGCATGGACTCGTAGCAGAGTATGCCCACGGTCAAAATACGATGGCAGTCATTTTACTCCGTTAATTGCATCTCAGCATGTAGTAGGGCTGCTCTAACGGCCCTGACGCACGGGACCACGGTGAGACGCAGACCGAGGAGAACCTCCTAATCCGTCAGCTACTCAAGCAGCCGTGCATCGTGGATGACCTCACCAGGGCTACACATCATCATCGTCGCAACCATCGTCGTCCTCATCATCATCATGCGCCCGGTACTGGATAAATACGTGTCTGCGGTGGCAGCAACGCGCGGAGAGGAGGATCTCAGCATGTCTAGTGGGACTTACTAATTTATATCATTAGACCTCCTTTGCCAGTACCAAAATATAATTAATAGGGTTTTTCCCCTTTTTTTCTGGCAACAAAACTGAAACCTTTTTACAAGGATTCATGTCTGCATTGACCACAATACCTGCAGTCAAAATGCAAACAAAAAACATACTACGATAATATATGCATTGTCCTTGAAACTGATTGGTCCACACCAAGGGACGGCTTTCTTTTGAGCCTCGACCCAATTGGTGCTCGACCAGATGACACCAAAAGGCCTTGTAAAAAGGTTTCAGTTTTGTTGCCAGAAAAAAGGGGAAAAACCCTATTACTACTAATTTATGTTTCGGTGGAATTACCACGTGTATGATGCACTCAACATTCCACCAATTGGAAATATGTGATTTAAAGGAATGGAAAGAAAAAAAGTCAAAAAATCACGAGCACACATTTCTGTTTTGCTGCCTGTCACGTGGAAACATAGAATTTCCACTCCAGGGTAAGAGCCAGAAAAAGAATGAGTACCACTGGTCATTGGGGCAGGTAGACACCTTGATTGTTTCCATTTTAACGTGCAGTTCACGGTCTAGGTAAAAGTGCAACCCTTCAATTACTTGCTGACGGGACTGCTAACGGAAGGGCCTCGACGAGAGGGAGTCCCAGAGAGAACTTGGTTTACTCTTCCACGCTGACCAGACGCCTTGAAATTGGTGAAAGTAGCCACACGTTACCCACCGCACATGACCTGCAGATTGATTGACTCTGGTGTTAACCAAGAATCCTGCCTGGGGGATTTAATAAATCTAACCATTGTTTCTACTGTTGCACCACGGGATCTATGTCCAGTGCGCTAACCATCACACCAAGGCAGCTTCCACGCGTAGAGTAAAATTTAGTTCCATTCATGACAGTGATTCATTGCAACCAACACATATGCCATGAGCATTGACTAAATGCTGTAAACACATTTTTTCAGAGTCTATCCAATATAACAGAACTTGCACGCTTCAATATATTAACGTCACCAAGGAGGCATTAATAACTTAGAACGCAATAACAACACGTAGTTTTGCCAATTGATTTTTTATATATATATTACTTGTTGGCAAAATCTTGTTCGGGAAAAAAAAAGACTGAAGAGCACATTAAATTTGCCGTCCTGGTAGAATACGAAACCATAACCTGCACGCTGATCCCTATTTTTCATTGGGAAAACCCCATTGTTGGTAAATCAGGTTCGGTGGAAATACTGGGAGAATTTATATGTAGCATAGCAGGAAAATGTGACCGGGATCCGGAAAGGTTTTGTAATCGCTGGCACATTTCAAGCCCCTGCAGCCCCAGACGAGACAGCTCAGAGATCACTATAGCAGGGACTGAAGGGGCACTGGCGTGGCACTGTGGAATGCACCGCGTCAAAGACATTCAACAAACGCAGCTTGGCAAGTGCACTCGAGGTATACGACGAAGGAGAACGAAGACAAAAAAAGGATTTCGCTCAAAAAACCACGACATCTGCTAATTCCCGGAGCTTTAGTGCACGGCGATTAACTCTGGGAGAGGGTGGAGACATTCCTTATTTTGTTTTCTCAAGCGCCGAGGGTGCGTTACTAACCACCTTGACACATAATGAGCTTTTCTCGACTCGAAGTCTTTCTTTTGATGCCTCATCCTTTCAAGGATGCTCGGAGATGCCAAGTCATTCTCAAAAGCCGAGTGCACAGGCTGTTCTGTGGCCACTTCCTTCATTCTACTGCTTTGCTACGGCACGTGAACCTTGAACACCTGTAGACGTGCTTGCATTTCAAACCTTAAACCGGTCTCATTGAACCGGTCTCATGATCACTGACACCCTTCATTGGTTCCGTAAATATTAAACACAATTCTATAGTCATGTGTCAGTCCAATGCTCTGGATGAAGGCTTTGCTATGCCACATCAGTCATGAGGACTGTATGACAAAAATCCACCACAACTTGAGCAGGACTAGTTGGTGACTTTGGGTGCCCAGGACTGGTTCAGATATCACTCGACAATGATGTTAGCCATGGTGGGGAACTGAAATCCGGTTGCCAGGTTCACATCATTGTGCATTATTTAATTATGTATGTATTACAGTAATCAAGACTATTTAGTCATACGAACAACACGTTGACATGTGTCAAGGTATATGTATGCCACTAGATTACATTTAAGATAGTCTTTACTGTGATTGGAACACCTATATTTTTGGTATGAAATGAAACAGGTATGCACCTGTTGTACGAGAACCAATTAATGTTATTCTTACCCAAGCAATCAGTGCCCACGCAAACCAACTGCGGAAGGGGATCTCATGTAAAATTGGTGGGTTGCAGTGCCCCCCAAAACCTCCAAGGGTTGCCACTGCCTAAAGGGCACAGTGCCTCTACAAGAGCCTTCGTTGGGATGTTTTAAAGGGGAGCAGCTCTGGGGTCCGTTTGGCCTCAGATATTGTGTGAACACAGCAATCTTCTGGAGCATCGCATGGAGCCGAATTGTGAATTCAACATTGCCCCAAGCCAATGTTGTATTCACAATGGAGTGCGCACTTATTGTCCACGAGACATTACTACTGCCCTTTTGACATCTATGAATACGAATTGTCATCCGCAATCTCAACATCTTGCTTTTGATCGAAGAGTACAGTGGCATGGTAAAACGACGCTGGTAAAGCTCACTTTTAGTGAGGCTCTGCTGTGAAAATAATAACAGATTGAATACTAAATAATTGTCTTGTACGTTATTTTGGTACGTACAATCTATGCCTCCTTATGGCTCTGTTCAAGCACTTGACATTCACTACTCTGGATAATGCATACCCACCTTAGGGGAATTATTTGACCGCATCAAGTACAATACAGTACTCTCAAAGCCACAGATTACAGTAGAGAAAGGGCCTGTATTAAACACTGGACCAGAATAAATGTTGTGCAGATTCGTATAAGAAATATAAACTTACGTTACATCTTAAAAGTGACGGTGTTAGTTTAGCTACACAGTATTTATAGTATTGCAGTAGTATAGCATTTTCCACCATTTATGATTGCAACAAAGTATTCCCAAATCAATTCAGATGCAATAGTGGATTTTTAAAAATATTATTTTTGGAATCTTACACGCAGACGCTACACCTGCGGAAGCCAGGTCCATACATCCCAGGACAAATTATATTTTTCCTCCAAGGAAAGGCACGAGATGAAGGAGTGTATGCTGAATTGCTTGAACCTGCCCGTCTTACGTCTCGTACCGAGGTTATCAAGACAGCTAAGATACTGGCTGACGGATGCGTTCATTTTCACGGCCTTATTTGTAAATGTGTGGACATTGATACGTTTGTCTGTGCACTTGATTGAAAAATGCACGCCTTCTGCCCGAGGTTGAGAAAACAAGGTGTGGAAGGAAGTCTCCGAAACAATTTCCTTGGTTTGTATGTGAGCTTTGCTCGACTTGAGTACATGATTTTCACACCCACTCTTTTCGTTCTTGAGGCGAGGCATGTTTGCTCAGGCCAATGTTTGCTCAGGACCACCAGAGGTTACATCATGTTGAAAGGATGGCCGCTCCTGAAAACCTCAACCGTCTGTAATGAATGTGACGTGCTTTGAACATTATACTGAAAGGCCCACATATGTCTTCTTAGTTTGCAATTGCGAAATAATCCCTATAATTTGAATACATATTCTCTTTTCATGAATATATGGCAAAGGCTGTTGATTTCCATTTTTCAAACAAATAAATCAATAGTTTTCATTATCGGGCCAGCAAAGATATACAGCTTACAAAGACAAGTGATGCCTTGGCTTGCAAAACATGAAGCATGTCCGTTGCATTTCCTGATAATACATACCAAGAATAAACTTTAGTGTTTTAAGTCCAAAAACTCTATGAATACAGATTGTGACTGTCAGGACAATCATCTCAACACAGCACTGTAAGTTGAAATTGGTAAATATTCCCTACTGACGATAACACAAAACTGTAAACATGTTTTTTGAAGGGGAACATTATGGCCTTGAAAAAAAAATTCCATTCTAATTCTTTTTTTTATCAAAGGGCTCCATTTAATGTCACAGATTCAAATAAAATAACTATCAAAGGTCACTTCTATGCTACACAATTCCAGATTACATTACTACTTTATTCTCATATATATGATTAATAGGATTTTTTTTAACTACACTTTTTTACGAACATGATTCTTTTCAATGGAGGGAAAACTGCAGTGCCGTACAGGATAACAATGTGTTATCCAGAGAGGCCTTAGATATGTCATGTCTTGATTTGCCATCTGCACAATGTCTTATTGCACTTTACCAGCGTCCAACGTCAGCAATGAGTGCTGCGTATATCGTATGCGCAGAGTATGTGTTAACTTTGGCAGCTTTTGTATGTCGCAGAAGTTCATATACTCAAATTCGTAATGCAAAGAAAAGTGGAAGTTAATTAACAAAAATTAAAACGTTTTAAGCTGCCCCTTAGGAAATACTACATTCCAAGAGAAAGTATGTATTTTGCCATTTTACAAGTGACTGTCCCCTATCATTGAGTGTCCAACCACATTCTGTCAAAGCTGGTTTGTGTGAGGTTAACCAATCTAATAACTCCTCCCAGCGGCACGCTGCCCCAAGCAAAGGTAATTCTTAAAATTAATAATCCCCCGACCGTCATTCCTGAGGTTTTCTTGACTCACATGATATATCAGCTCAGAGCCAAGTCTTTGACTCCCAACTGTCACTCACGTTAAGCATTTTTAACCTGATCGTGGGGAATTTCAACGCATGCATGAATCATGCTTACTGTAACACCATCATTACAGGTTACACAGCAGCATCGCAGGACTAAAACACGCCACCACATGGGAAAGAATCTCACTTACATTGAACACTCTATGTTTCTCTGGCACACGGCTATTCCACCCATCAAAATTGGTTTACGCCCTGTGGACACTCGAGAAAACACACCCAGTTCACGGAAGCACAAAGCCATCAAAGGGGTTTGCACCGACAAGGATTGGAATTTCAAAATTGCTTTTTCTCTTCCAAAGCGGCTCACCTCGGCACTGGCTGCCCGCGGCCTCGTAGCCGGCGTGGCACACGCACAGCCCGATGGGCACGAGCCACTCGCCGTCCGTGCTGCAGTGCATCCTGGGGTCGGTTGCGGCCACGGCGTTGGGCACGCACGAGCCGCGCACCTCGACGAGCGGCGACGACAGGGCGTTCGCCACGGTGTCGGGGAAGCGGGCGAGGTCCCGCACCACCGCCGGGCACTTCTTGTAGTAGACGCGCGCCGACACGAGGGCCACGCACGCGCCCACGTCCTGGAAGGCCAGGTAGAAGCCGGGCCAGGAGAGGGGCGGCAGCTCCCGCACCTCCGTGTTGAGCTTGAGCACGCGGTCCTTGACGTCCACGTTGTCGAAGTTGCTGTCGGCCGCGATGGTGCCCACCTTGGCGAAGAGGCTCTCGTCCATGTTGGCGCTCGAGCCGGAGTCGGCCTCGTAGTAGTAGAGGTTGAAGGTCTCCTTGCAGGTGGAGGCGACGCCGGCCATGCTGCCGCAGTCGCGCAGCGTGAACTTGATCTCCACGTAGACGCGCTGGGCCGGGTCGCGAGCGATCCAGCGCGTCCGCAGCCAGTTGTTCTGGTTGGGCTTCACCACGTTGCACACCTGGTAGGCTTGAATCAGCGCGGTTTGGTTGATCTGGATGGCCATCTCCTCCCACTGTTGAATAAAACACATTTAAAACAAAGTTTCGCAATGTCAATCCAACTGTTGATGCAATATGCAATCCCATTCGTTCATATGAATTGCACTGTTCTTAATATTACTCATTTTGTGCATTTTGGATCATTTGGCCAAGAAGAATTTCCACACGTTGCAAGTTCCTTACTCTGATGCATGCACCAGGAGGAAGTGGTTGCTCTCGCTGGAATTCTGGAATGTCGCATTGGAAAGACATTTTCTAATTTGGGTCATTATACCAGCAGCATACAATAGTTTGACAAATCAACATTGAATGAATGTGAAACAAACCCACACCCCACCCCTATATCCTCAGTGAACGGTATTGAAGTAAACCTTTCTTCCTGTTTTATTGTTCGTAATCCTAAACAAAAGACGTCCTCAAAAAAAGCTAACTGCAAGTTCCTGAAAATTCCCCCAACAGCCCAACAAATTCTCCCTGGTCAGGAAACAATACAGTGCTTTTCCTGCCAAGCGTATGCCCTCTGCAAGTTTGTACAGTAGTTATATTATAAGCTCGACAGATTTGCTGATAACCGCCCATCGTGAATACATAAGCGAAACTTTACCACGAAAACGAATACATTATTTGAATTCTTGGTCACAAAACTGATCTGTAATTTTGCATCGCCACTAACCGTCCACTGCTCCCAACCTCCCACTCATTCTGCTACCTCCAATGAGGCATTGAAAACATCCTGCCCAAATGAGTTTGCGTCCCTCTTCCTTCCTCCCTCTGGGTTCCCCATCCGCCCCTGCACTCACCCCAGTGGTGGGCGTTGCTTCCCATCCGAGCTGTCCGAAAATGTTTGTTGTATCCAGCAAGTTCACTGTGAAAATGCAGAACAATACGAAACATGCACACACAGGCACACAAACACATTTCATACCGTTTGTTCATTTATTTTAAAAGGAGAAGCGTGTCATGACAGATTTGAATTCACTTTATGAGCTTATTTCAAGTCATGGAACAACATGTTGGCTTGCCCTCTGGGGGATGTGCCACGCAGATTTTACAAGTAGCAAAATCTGCTTATTGGACACTGTTTCGTGGTTTCATTATTTCATCGTTAAATCTACACATGCCATGATGCATCTGCCTTGCAGTGGGAGGTACCCCAGAAGATTATTCAGTGTACACCTTCGCCACGGTAATTACAGGTTCATTGATCAGTCAGGTGTGTTGATTGAGGCACACGTGCTCATTAATTCTTACAGGCGCCCAGTCCTACAGCTATTGGTGGTGATTAACCTAAAACAACACACTAATCCTCTAGGGCACGGTCCTTTGAAAATCGGTATGGACCTCCCTTGGTCCGGGTGACTATTTCACACAAAATACCATTAATTAAATGGAATAAACAAAAATCGGATTTTGAAAGATTAAGAAATCATACAAGTTGGAATAACCTCGTAACTGCCTGCGCTTCCAACTACAGCATGGTCCAGATGTCTTGTGCCCCACACCAGCCAATTAATTGATCCCTAGCATTGTTTTACCTTTGCTTATTCATTTATGTTTTCACACGCAATGGTATACAATAATATTACGTTTTAGAGGATTAAATGGGGGGGGGGAGGAGTCACAAAATATCTGGAACACCTTGTACAATCCTCCATCTGCCTATTTGCGTCTCCGTTTATTGAAATTAATTCTGAAAAAGCTGCATTTTACCCTGCCTCGAGCAAGCACTGACCTCCCTGACTTGATTTACCTTAGACCACCATGGAATTGTCTCCGCCGTTTATAATGATGCCAAAGCAGCAAAATAAAATTACACAAACCGTTTGACAGATCAATAACCAATGCATGCAACATTAACTGTTACCATTGTCCTCTATGAAAATAGATTCAACCCTTTTTTTGTTATAAATGTAACCGTTATGTAACACTACACAGCATACAATTGTTATTAGAGCCTTTGATTTTGTAATGAAGCTAAGGAATTCAAAGTTGGTCGCTGGCCTTAACCAATTAAGAGCAAAGTTAGCTGGAATTAAAGGTCACAAAAGCGCACGGAATAATACAATTTAACAGGCGAGTGCAATTCCAGTTGCAAGGGGTAAACTATCCACGCGATATATAGAATGACTTTACATCAGAGCCTTAGTTTAATACTTTATACAGCATTTATTATATTAATTTTAAAAAAAAACATTAATATGGGGAAACTCGGTGGCTTTCTATTTCACTCAGGGTCTCTCTCAATGTGTAATTTAGTTTTTAGAGCAACTATTCTCAGAAATATAAGTGAAAAATTCCACAATTATTTTGCTGAAATGCATTTTACAGCGGCTTATATATACATAATTCAAAATCACAAAATAGTATTGCACACATTTTTAAATGCACTCATCTGCAGTAGTTACTGTAATGAACAATACTAATTAATTTCACGAAAGTCAGCTATATTGTAGGTGGTAATTACATTTTCCAGTTGATGATCCGAGTTCCATTTATATTTCTGGCATACTTTAGAAGATCTAATGAGCAAATGGCAGGGAAAGTAAAAAATAAAGAGGGAGTGAGATAAAGGGCCAGATAAAGGCGGTTTCAACATCTCACCGTTGCCTCTCGAGGTATGATTACAGCATCAATGAATGGATTTCATTTGAGTAAATGTGATCCGGGAAAGCGAAACAGGCATGAGCCAAATTTGCAAAAGGGTATAAATTCTGCATTGGATCTTTGATGGAGGGTTTCCTCCCTTCACGTTAAGCCAACGCGTGTATATATTAACAAAAAAATAACTTGCGCCCAATCTCACTGACTCACTCACTTGACAAGTCTCAACGGGCACTCGACACCAGACCCCGATGTGGCTTTCATCCCCAGATCACAACACAAAACCTCAATATGCGCACGTTACTATTTGTGGCATACCATGCAATAATTTAACACAAGTCACGTGTTACAAGCATAAGACACTGTGGAGTGGCGGGTGAGCAATGGTGCAGTGGTTAGAGTACTGGGCTCGGATCCACAGCGACCCGAGATTGTTATAAGCTAGATTCTCGGTCACGGCTAACACCAGTGGCGAGTGATATATGATTCTGGTCCTCACCCTCCCCTCCCCCACTCCCTCCACACACCTTCACCAACCCGCATGGTGAAGTGTGGTCGGCAAACAACCCCTATGACTGACAGTTGTTGCGGAATTGGGTCTTCATCCAGCAGTGGATTGACGTTATTTACAGAAGAGAAAAAACATATATTTTTTTCCACCGCGAGTCTAAAGGTAACATTTAAAGTACAGGATGGTTCAGATGTTTTGTTACTCCAAATTCGTTGACCCCTAACATGTTTTTTCCTTTGCTTATTGATTTCTGTTTTCACAACCATTGGGTATACAAAAACATGAAGCTTCAGGGAATAAAACGGGGGTCACAAGACATCTGGACTACCTTGTACAATGCATCTATACTTGGCATTTCAAAGAAACATTACGCAGCTTTAATTTCAAGTTAACAATTCTGTATACCCTGGCTGCTCAATAAAAAGCAAGTGGAACAAAAGAGTTTAAGTATCGATGTAGGTTTAAATTAAGTGTACGTTCGTGCCAATTTAAACTACTGCATATCACGATAACGTGAGCCTTTAAAAAAGCAATTATTTATGATAATCGCGTGAAGAAAAATATCCTCTTCACCTGGATTGCGTCAAAGAGCCACGGATGGCCCTGCGCCCGAATTAAATTGCAGCTTAAATTATAATAATCAATTATACTAAATTATAATGCAAATTATAATGCAATCTATCACACGGCTCACATTCTCACGCGCCCGCAAGCATCGAATGTCCGTCCTTGCTAACGGCCTCCGGAGGAGACCTTGTCCACGTGCGTTTACGATTCGCCATCAGCCATGTCCAATCCACTGCTGGATGATGGGACGCAACACCAGTGGCGACCCGTTTCACCGCTCCATATCCGACGCGTGAGTGTACCGCGTTTAGTAAGCCCTCAAAATATACTGCAAGTAACATTAGTAAAATAGATTGGCTTTTTGTTGTTGTTGTTTTACGGTGGTGTGTGTGTACATAAATAAAATTACGTGTAATATGTGACATTAACAGGTTATGATTATTTTCGTGGGGTTACAATTGCAGGTAGGATGAACACAATGGCATCAAAGGACGGCATTTATCTACAATGCACATGCATATTATTTGGGTCTTTCGGTAAAGTCACGTAGATGTTTCAAAGAAAATAACAAAAAGCTCCTCCTCATGACGATCGCTTGTGTCGTAGTTTTTTTTTATTTCCTTTTAACCATCTACGTGACTTTACCGAAAGACCCAAATAATATGAGTTCCTGCAGTCACGAAAGCTTTAAGTCAAGATTGAATGCACCTACACTCGTATATAAAACGACGCCTCATGCATATGCATCACCTGCCTGGCTTAAAAAGATAACAATCATGGAAGTGGAGTTATAAAACTGTATCAGTTTAGCCAGATACCACTGACAATACTGTGTGTTTAGTTTGTCGTACTCCCCCCACACCCCCGATTCGCACGGTTGGCTACGTACGGTGCGAAAGAAGTTCAACACACGCAAGGCTTGACACAATGAGGCAGGTTGGACATCAGGGAATACAGCTATGCAGATTATAACCTGTGCAATAGGGTACATCTCCTAACGATGTTAAGGTAGCAAATCAACGTAGCACGTAACATTCAGCTGCTGAGATCGCATTATCCATTGGGGCAAATGTGACTAACAGCCCGCTGTCAATTATAATGGGACTCTTAACCGCTGGAGCTCTATTGTTGCACTTTGTACATATTTATGTGTTTACTTGACGAAAGCGCATTCAATTAAGCAATGAGCGTACTGGTGTATTTTTATATTTACAGCGTATAGCATTGTATTGATATCCTCAACAACAACAAAAAACAAGCCTGGATGGAGCGTTAGCGCAATGCGCTATGAACCCGTCCTGCCAGAGTTGGATTCCCGGTAACGACGAACGTCAGCAGTTATCAGGTCCTAGCCCCCCTCCCCAACACCCCAACTTCCCTAACAGACAGTGACCAGCGTGGAGAAGTATGATCACAAAAGCTCCCCCGTGATCAACCTTGCGTGGGAAGACTTTCATCCAGCAAGTGGCTTCACAAACCGCAGACGTTGCTCTAACAATGATTGCGCATGTCGTGTGGCAGCGTCGACACTTGCGAGTACTGCATTGTTAAAGCGTGGCGATTGTGTTCCCATGACAGACGATGATGACAACTGTGAGGGCAGTAGCAGTGATCATGATGATGGTGATAGAGTGATGCGCCATCAAACACGTACCTTCATTGGCAGGGTATGCGTAGCAGCACGAGCTGGCGAGAATTACAGCAGCGATGGAGAAGGAATGCGTGATGAAGGAGGAACTCATGATCTTTGCTGGAGCAGGCTTGGGATTTAACTTCCGACCGCGCCGAGAATCCCTCCTGCCTCTGCCACGCGACTGCTTGGACACTTAAATCGAGACTTGTTTTATTTACTCTCGCCGAGGAACTCCCCCAGTCAATCAATCGATCTGAGGCTGAAGTTAAGATGGGGACCCTTCTCAACACGAGAGACCACAGGGGGGTCTTCGAGTGACGGTGACAATGGTGATGATGGGGTGGTTCGTCTGTGCTGACTTCTTATTGGCGGTGGTTCTTGGTGGTCGGGCAAGTGGAAGTGTGGCGGTGGTGGCGGTGGTGACGGTGGTGTCTTCTCGTGTGAGCGAGCTTGCTTGGCGAGGAAGCCGAGCAGCGCACTGGCGCTGCTGCCTTCTTGAGCGAGCGAGGGTTTAACCCACGGCGTCACCACTCGCCTGTGACTGAATGAATGAATGGAATGACGGGGGCGTTTCACTCCCATTGGGGGCGGACGTCCCAAATATGGGCAAAGACACTCCCAGTTAGCCCCCTTCCCCGCTCCACCCCATCTGAGTCTGGACCCACAGGCAAAGATAAAAGACCCCCCCCCCCCCCCATATTAGCCTAGACCAGAGATCGGCAACCAAAAAAAAACAAGGACTTTTTCTTCTTCAATGTTTCAACAGCCGCAATGCATATGAATATGAGACGGTGGTCCTTTAATAAATAAATAAATAACGCCATGGAGCAGTCCTTACGGAGCCACGTGCAATTCCTGAGCCGCAGGTTGCCAACCCCTGCCCATGGTCAACTGGACGACTCCCATGCTCAACTGGACTGCCATGGTAAACTGGACTTCCATGGTCAACTGAACTCCCATAGTAAACTGGACTCCCATGGTCAACTGAACTCCCATAGTAAACTAGACTCCCATGGTCAACTGAACTTCCATAGTAAACTGAACTCCCATGGTCAACTGGACTTCCATGGTCAACTGGACTTCCATGGTCAACTGGACTGCCATGGTAAACTAGACTCCCATGGTCAACTGAACTCCCATAGTAAACTGGACTGCCATGGTCAACTGGACTTCCATGGTAAACTAAACTCCCATGGTCAACTGGACTTCCATGGTCAACTGGACTTCCATGGTCAACTGAACTCCTATGGTCAACTGGACTTCCATGGTAAACTGAATTCCCATAGTAAACTGGACTGCCATGGTAGACTGGACTCCCATGGACAAAAGAGCCATATTTTTTGAATTCGGAAAAAAAACCCCTCAACATTTCAAGAGCCGCATGCATCCCCGGAGCCAGAGGCTGCCGACCAGTGGGCCCCAGACTTTCGGGACAAATTCTGTTAGCGAGCACCTATGAGGGCCAGCACGGCACAAGAGGGGTTGGGTGGGTGGCCAACATCGTGCCATACCGCCTTTGTCTCCCCCGGCGATGATTTTTGTACACACTACACCAGGTAGTCTTTATGCAGAAAATACTGCTGCATAATATCTCTGAAAAGCCAATAGGCTGATGAGCTAAACCATTTTTTTTATACAGAGTGGAGTTCTGCTTATATTTTCTCTAACCTGGTGGGATCGCGGGTACTAAAAGGGTTTATATGTGAGTGCATAACTCAACTCAACCTGTGCGTTTAATTTATCGTTTTGCTGTGGCTTATTTTACTAAAAAGTAAAACATAAATTATAAGCATCGTGCATGTGACCTACATTATGAATTACAATAGTGGGCAACATTACATTTGTTAATGCAGAAAAAAAACTTTCTGCAAAATAAAATTTCCATCTCAGAATATGTGTGTAGGCCCTGTATATAATTTGTTGAAATCTATTATTACTTATGCTTGCATAGCACATTTATTTTCTACACACAATTAAATTGTTAATGTGAAAATGGCATATTTTAACAAGGTCATTATACTACTAAGAAGTGCATTCTGCTTTGCGTAAACAACTGTATATACCTATTAGCTGATGGAGAGATTCGTACCTGCTATTAGAATGTTAGATTTCAGTGCAGTAATGATTTTTTAAAAATCTATTTGTGTGGAGCTTTGAGTTGGATCCCTTTGCATGTAGTCAGTCATGGAAATGGCCAAACCTCCTAATTCGAGAACTCTACGATAAAAAAAGAGTCTTGTGATGCTTTCCTGGTTAAATAAAAAAATAATTCATTATCATTCGTTATCTATCCTCTACTGGATGAAAATGATCGCCATCTCTCAGGGTCATGTGATGCAACAACCCATTCAGCTCCTCTACACAAGCCGATTTCATCGCTCCATCTCCGCATTAGGAGGTCCGTCATGACTGTGTTCCCTCTTTTGACTGCCACTCGATTGTCGGTCTCGATCACCAGCCATCGTCCCTTCTCGCGGATTGGGTTACGTGATGTTAACTACCTCGCCCGGTATACAGGAGGTCGTGGTTTCGACCCCGACCACGACGCCTGCTATGTATTTGGAGTTTGCGTGTTTTCCCGATGGTCGCATGAATTTTGTCTCCCGTGTCCTCCGGTTTTCCCCTCCACATTTAAATCAACATACGTTGAGAGTATTTGGCTGCTCCGCATTACCACATGATAAGCCACTATGTTGAGCTATCATTTACAGCCAAGTTGCTTATGCGAAAAAAGCGATATAACTCAATGCGCCTTACCTGCTAAAATTTAATTATTTTATAGTAACAAATAATAGTACAGTTTAGTTTTGTATTATACGCCAATGATGACTCCATATTCATTGCAGAAATGACCACTGCTTTACACTGGGAGAATGAGAACGCTGCTATAAACGTTCCTTATATTAATGCTACAGTTATGAGTGGGCAGTCGAGTATACTGTGTTGCACGTTCTGCAATGTGAATTGTAGGGGTGTACACTGTATTATTATAGTTGTATCCCCCTGTACGTACGCATGTGCGTGTAATAATAATGTGTGGAAGTCCAGAGTGCTGCATTGCAGATCCGCAAGTCTTAACTGCCCTTCCCTTCCTTGTTTCGACAACAATCGGAGCCCTCTGCAGTGGATTACTCGGTATATTATCCAAAAACCGCATCCCCTATTACATGTTGTGCATTGTGTGTGCATTCGACGTCAGTAAATGTCTGCAACACGCTATGGGATTATCCATTGTGAATTGAGTTTTCCCTGTGTTTTGGGTTAGACAACATCCGAAATAATGCTTGGCATATAGACGACAAAATAAAGCATAGCTCACTATATATAGTCCACTAAAGCTGTAGTTTGATGTTATTTTAATTTTAAATGCATGGACTGCAAAAAAAAACACATGAACGGATCTAAAACAAAGCTTTTGTGTCAGTATCCTGTTAATTTTCAGTTTGCTGCCACAGTCCGAACGGACGACGGAAAATCTTGAATCTCTCGCTAGACAAAGTGCTGCTTGTTGAACATCACGATTTGGCTTATTGGCCACGTTTGGAATGTGGTGACATCAAACACTGTGACTTATACGTACAAATTTAAACCAAATCTGACTTGAATTTTCACATGGTATTTATTAACAAAAAGCTTTATGTAGCAATATAACGAATTAATAGACTACGCAGGATCGTAATTATAACATTGATCATTCTTCGTGATATTTTTTTATTTGCATGTTCGCCAAAAGTATATGTTGTTAATGCAGACATAATCCTTTGCAAAAGGTTTCAGTTTGGTGTTTAAACATCTAACACCTGTTTTATTGCCAGAAAGGGGAAAACCTATGCTTACAATCATATATATAAACATTCCTAATGTTCAGTATTTTCAGGAATGGCAAAATACAAGAATATTTAATCAACATGCAATAAACGACATCTGTTGTGACGAGCAACTTCATCAACGGCTTTCGACTATATCCTCCAATGTGAAAGTAAACAATTCTCACAATGCACATCGCCATCTAGTGGTTAATTATCACGAGCCATCCACATAGCCTCGGAGTCAATTGCTGTCAACTGTCGAGTGATGTGAGTACGAACTGTAACTCTGTAAGTGCTGTATTGTAGGTACTGTTGCTTTAACACGTACTGTTACATTGCACAAGTTTGTATGAATCGAATCAATTTGCTTTTACCTTATTCGTATTCTAGCTTGTAGCGGTAATGCTAGTAGCTACCCGCCTTATATATACTTTCATATCAGCTGTTTTTTAAGTGCTTGTAACATTGTGTGAGCGATTAACACAGTGGTGGACGCCGCAAGTTAAACATGCAATGGTCATGTGAAGTTGTGGTCGGTGTGACGTGATGCATGATCAACAGTGCATGGGTTGTGATTTTTTTTGGTCTCTCCGTAACCATGCGCTGCAGTCGCAACAAAACTATTTGATTTTCCAGGTGAATGCCACTGAGCTATTCGCTTTTTTTCAGAGGTGACCTGGCCATACCATTATATCTCATTCGTGGGGTATATAACATATGTGGGAATTTAGAGTCGCCAAACAATCGAAACGTACAAAATTTTGATTTAAAGCTTTCGTGACTGCAGTAATTCATATCCTTAGCTCTTTCGGTAAAGTCACGTTGAAGGGAAACAATAAAATAATATATATAAAACAATTAAAATTCTCACGACGTTTCGACCATAACACAAACGGTCGTCATCAGGTGTTATGGTCGAAACGTCGTGAGAATTTTTATTGTTTTTTTATATATTTTATTATTTTATTGTTTCCCTTCAACGTGACTTTACCGAAAGAGCTAAGAATAATAATCGAAACGCACGTTTAGAATTATAGAGGGCAAAACCGGAGGACCTGGTGAAAAATCCACGAGAACACGACAAACTCCAAATTTACGACAACCTTTACACATATACCATTGCTTGCACGCTATGCTGTAACAGAGCTGAAGCTTATGTATTTTGTAGGCCTCGACGATTTTCAATCCATCCCCATTGGGGCCGTCCATAAATGACGTCACGCGATTTTGGACGATTTTTTGACACCCCCCCCCACCCCCTCGTCACACGGCGTCACAAAAAGTCAGACCCCCCTCAAATATGACGTCACAAAACTCTGCCCCCCCCCCCAAAAAAAGCATATTTCCATTTTGAAAATAAAACATGCTTCAAATCGCTTTAAACTATTGTCATTGTAGTGCGCATTTAATGTGGCGCTGCACTCTGATGTTGTAGGAGAAAGCATTTATTAAAAAGTCTATTTAATTATGTAGAACGTGTTGTCTATATTTATTTAAAGTTGCGCATTTTGATGTGACGTCACATTTCTGAACCACCACCCCCCTCTTCATAAAACCTCACAAATGTCTGACCACCCCCCCCCTCTAGGTGCGTCATGTCATTTATGGACGGCCCCATTGCACATGCCAATGCCTGGGCCCAGTCCTACGCAGATGTAACTCATCTCATCTCAAATTGCGTTGTCAGAACCCTTTTAAGCTACCGCAAATGCGTTAAAATTGCACGTGGCAGAGATTCTGTAAGCATGCATTGTAAA